CTGCGCTCGATCGAAGCCCTCGTCTTCGACCGGGCTTTGTTCGACTCGAACCTCGACGTTGACTTAGCCTCGAATAAACACGGAGGGCAAATTCATCCCGTGCGTGTTTATGGACAAACACCTTGCGCCGAGTTTGATTCCCGGGTCTCGTTAATGCGGGGATGGCGGCTCTTCTTTCAGGCCGGCTGAAAGAAGTCCCCGGAACGATATGAGCGACCTTAAGGGAGTGGACGAGCGCATTCAGGACGCGCTTCGGGCGATCGTCGCGGCCGAGATTGCGTTTCGTTCCTCCATTACCGGTGTGTCCGTCCTGAATGCCGAGGCGTCCTTTCCGGCGTGCCATTCAGGTCTTGAATCGTTAATTACACTTAGCCGCGTTAGCTGGAAACGGCGCGTCCTTAGCTAGTCTTCCAGAAGCGAAACGTCCCGCGCGGTCGTCAAGATGGCGCCTCAAGAGAGCGAAACGCGCTCCAAAAGAGAGCGAAACGTCAAGGCCTCGTAACCCTGACGCGATGCTCGCAATCAATGTTGTATCGCCCCGGGAGGTCGGGACACGGAGACCCCTAAATTATCCAGCGGGATGCTGGATATTTCCGCGAGCGACGGGATGAAAAAAAAAAAAAGAAAAAGAAGGAAGGGATGAAAAAAGGAGACTGCCGCCCTCCCCTGTCGCCCCGAGAGATGCGATAAATTTTTCACCGCGGCGCGAGAACTCTACATTTTTCAACGGCATCGAGGAGCCCCTCGCTCTTTTCCGGCTAATACGGCTAAATAATCGATCCCCTCGATATGGCTTCTCTGCCCTCCCGGGAAACTTCTTTCACCGGCGGATTTTCGCCGCTCCCTTTGGGCGCGTAATCAATTCGAAGGGCCGCTTTTGTTTTAAAGGGCCGGCCCCGCGGCGGTGTATACTTTCGGGGCGGCCCGAAGGGGGCGAGAACCAACGTGTACGTAATTCACGGCAAACAGGGGTGCGGAAAATCAAACGACAAAAGTGTCGGCGGAGAACCGCCGCGATGAATGCCCGGATTACGAGACTTCGAGGATCCGGGAGGATCGGTAAGATCGACGTTATCGGACGTTGTCCGAGAGAGAGCAATCTTGTATCTCGTGCGTCGCCTTCGAGGGATTCTTTAGTAAGGGAAGGTCTTTATAAGAGTCAGGTCGCGAGGGAATTGATAACGTAGTTGGCGCCCGAGGACGGCCACCAAGGGCCGAGGTTTTCTCTTCATCAAAGGAAGGCCGCCGCGGAACTCGCGGTGATAAATAGGGCCCATCAATTACAATTACGCGAGCAATTTCAGGGGATACGCGGGGCGCGTCTTCTTAACGCCCCGCCGAGTAAACGGCCACCCGTAATGAAATTCGCAGACAATAAACCTTGGCGAACCTCGGTTTTTCCCGGTGCTTTTCCCTCTTTCTTTCGCGACCCTCCCGCGACAAGGAAGGAGGAGAAGCGGCGCGGCATCGAAATCGAGTCCCCTTGAAAAAACGTCCCATTCGCGCCGGGGACGCGGCGTTAAACATTCGAATGCAAAATGGCCGCTTTAGGGGTCCCTTTCCCGCGAAATAACATTTCTGGGGCCATTATCATCAGGCTCTCTCTCGGAGCGGCAGTTTCACGCTCGGTCGCTCGCGAGTCGCGGGAGAGGGTCTCCTCCGAATCCCGGGCCGTCCCCCCTTTCCATTTTCTCGCTCATTACAATTCATGCTCACTCCAGGGTGCGCGACTCGGCGCGGGGAATATCGCATCCCGGCGGAAATGCAATATCCCGAAGGACGCGAAAGCGTCGCGGGCTCGAATCGAATGATTCAAATGCACTCGAACCCGCGTCGCTGGCCGCGCGAGAGGGCGGGGAAGAAAGAAGGGAATCCCGGCCGAGTGTCTCGCCGAGGAAAATGATTTGTCGCTTTCCCGGAGTCTCGACTCGGCGGGCCACGAGCGAAGTGGATCGCGAGCGCGGCTGCGGGCTGCGCGCGCAGCCCGGGCAGCGCCGGGCGCACTCACCCCGAGGAGCCGAGAATCCCCGTTTCCATTCGCATCCGTATTCGTATTCCCTCGCGAATCCCCGCGCCGGTATCCTTATGCATCCTCGTTCCAGCGTCTCTCGGACGTCTCGCCCTTTGAAACTTTTTCCAGCCCCCAGGTCTCCGAGGGCCGTCCGTCGAGAGATACGACCTTAAGATCGATTACCATATCTCGCCCCCTTATTTCGAGCCCGTCCTTTCCCCGGGCACTCGCTTCCGGGGGAGATTCCCACCCTCGTTTCAATTTTTAATCATTAACCCCCTTTCGGACCGTGCATCAAAATGGCCGCGTCAAAGGGCCGAAAGTCAAAGGGAGTAGCGCGATCGTTCCCGGGCGGAACTTATTCCACGGCGAGCACTCCAGGTGGAACTCGCTGGAAATGTATTCCGCCCGGGCAGGCAGCTCCAGCCCTGGCGAGCACCCTCGACCCGTGGATATTTTCACTCGGCAATGAGGCACGGCCCGCAATGGCTTTCACGGCATGGATTAACCCTGTTTGGAGATCCTTCCGCGAGAAGGCCTCGTCGAGGGTGCTCCTACGGCGAGCGAGTACTCCGAGAGACCAGAACGCGTCTTCGCCGAGATCCAGAATCCCTTTACGCACCTCTGCACACTTCTGCGTACATCTCCGTGACATTGATATTGGAAGTTGCAGCCAGGCCTCGGGAAAAATGGCGGCTCGCCTCCAGGAAGATTATAGAGAGAGGCTCGAGCCCGCGCGCGCTGCATCGCGGACACCAAGTATATCGCGTATTGATCGTTCTTTACTTGTTGCGCAGAGCAAACTCCGGCTCGAGCCCGGCACTGTCCCGTGCCCGCGCAGAGCCCTCGGCCCTCCGTGTGGACAGATGTAATTAACATCCGAAACCAAACGAGGAAAGAAGCCGGGGACCGCCCGACGCGGCGTCGCCCTCTACGTCGAACTCGGAGCAATCAATTTACGGGGACGAGGAGCGCGGTTTCCGGTGGCCGGGCGGAAAACCATTGTCGGCCGAGTCATAATATCCGCGAGTCGAGTGCCCGCCATGGCTGGAGCTGCCCGCCCGGGCGGAGCGCGTTTCCGCCGAGTTCCACTTGGCGTGCTCGCTCGCTCGCGAAATAAGTTCGAAAAAAGGAAAAGAGTAGGGAAAAATGACGGGGGAAAAGGGGGGGGAAAAAAAAAGAAGCAGGGACCGGGAATAAGCGCGAGGAGGGCATTTTGCCAACCGTGGACGTATCTTGCTCGCAGGAAATTCCGGATCCCCGCCAAGGCGATATTTTCATGCCCGATCGAGATGGGCGGAACTCCCGGAACCGTCGTCATTCCCGGGAAGGGCTCTCTCTCTCTCTCTCTCTCGAATTATGTACCCGCGGAAAACATCCGCGTATTATTTCCCAACCAGCGTCAATATTGGATATCCTTGGAGATACCCGCGGGATGTTTAAAACGCGGCGTTAACAATTACGTAACGATATCCACGGGATATTGAATTCCGGGCGGCGTAGCCGATGAATTTCGCTCCCTCGAAATGTCTGTTAATCCCGTTAATAGAAAATCATTTATTAGCCCGCGATAATGGAATTTTCTGCCCTTCGCGGGCGCCGGCGTTAACGAAAAGCGCCATCGATCGCGCCCCGTCATGGACGGCCGATATTGCACTTAAATGAGACCTCTTTATCGGTGACGGTCCATGAGGAGTTATATCGTGCACCCTCTCGATACATATTTACCGGGAATAAAATTCCGCGAAGGAGCGCACGCGAATTATCGGTACATTTAATAGCGGAAATCTCGTTATCTCCTCCTCTTATCCGTATCCGTTCGCGAAAAGGAGGAGTAACAAAGGTCGGATTTGATTAACAGGCATTCGAGGCCCAGGTGAGTCGCTTCGAGACATAATCCCGCGATCCGCCCACGGAAGGGCCCTCCAGGTTCTCGACGATCTTACGTCCCAGGGACGACACATCGCGTCCTTCCACGAGGAATCGATACGTCTAGTGGCTCGACTCTCGGCGGAAAAGCTCGCTCCCCGAGGTGTCGCTCGCGAGGCTTTGCGACATCCAGAGAAGACCTAACGAACCGCGGATGGTTAAATTAGGGAAAAAAAGGGAAAAAAAAAAAGAGGTGGTACCTCGTTCCCCGTCGAGACGTTCGATCGACCTGTCCGCCGCGTCTCCGGCCATAAAACGTCCTCCGTGAGTTTCGGTCTACCTGAAAAACGAGGAACATATACTTAATAAAAGTTCCCTCGCCGTTTACGTCCCCGGCTTGGCTCACGCGAGAGGTGGTCGATACACGTCGGGGGCGTGGAACACCTCGGCGGCATCTCCGAGACCCGATAAATTCTTTATCGGCGCGGCAGGAACGATGGGGAGGCTCGCGAGAAATGCTACCCCGGACCGGGGATAAATTTTTAGGAATTTTCACGACATCGGCCGGCCTACTCTAAGGCAGAAGCGCGTCCGAAAGTGGCCGCGTAAGTCTGGGCGGCGCGTCCACGGGAGGGGCCGATAGATAGAATCCGGCTATTCCGGATGAAAGCTAAATGACAGAAACAGAATGGAACCGAGGGCGAGCCTGTTGGTTCGTATAAAATCTCATTACCTTCTGACAGCCGCGCTTCCATACTCGCCGCGATAAATCAGAACGCCTCCTCCCCATCTCGTCGACCGTCCGATGCGCCGTTCGCGTTTAAAGTCCGACAAAAAAATCCAATCTTCGGGCCGCTATCGGAACGATTCCATGATGTTCCTCCCATATTCCACCTGAGGCCCCTCGTCGTAAAGCCGCCCCGGCAATAATTCACCGGGTCGCGATCAAACGGCTCCGGTCGACGGTGGAGAGCCTCGGGTCATGTACCCGTCTCTGCACTTGGCGTTGACTTTTGACAGCGTCCCTCTTTTTCCAGAATAAAATGCGGGCACGTCGCCGGACCTACCATGTACAGTGAAGGGGTTCGCGGCAATGCTGTAGGATATCGTGATACATATCATGGAGGCGGTAGTCTTGCTGATAGAGGTGCTGGTGGTATCGGCCCTCTGCGCGGAAGAGCCGATTAAAAATGTTTCCGGTAAGTAAGACCCTCGGGGCGGAAATTCCGGGAGATGGGAAGGAGCACCGGAAGCGAGCCGCCTCCGCCGTCTCCGATAAGATCCCGAAGGGAGGCGAGATCCCTCTCGAGATGCCGAGAAAAGGGGTGCCAAGGGGACCGGCGGCGGGTCCTGCGAATCCTACAGGTCCTGCGGGTCCTTCACCCCGGTCCTCGACCCCTCCTTCTCTGTTGGGAATTAAATAGGAAATAAACTAAAAAAAAAAAATGAAACGAGGGGGTGGGAGGAAGTCGCGAGGTCGACGTAACGCGATCTCACGTGAAAGCCGAGATGGTCCCCTTGGTCCTGCGCGGAGGCTGCCTTCCCGTCCGGGCCGCGCGCCATGCCAGGTAATTGGATAACGTTAACGTCGTTCCAGGCCAGTGTATGCTGCCCCTCGGCATGGAGGAGGGAAAAATCCCGGACGACGCGATAACGGCTTCCTCCAGCTACGAGATGAAGTCGGTCGGTCCGCAAAATGCAAGGTGAGGGCCCCCTCAAGATGCGTCACCTTCCACCTGAGGATGCGATACGCTCCGTTTAGGGATAGAATATTATCGGGGTATAATTGGATACTCTTCGCGCAGTACGTACCGGCAGTTAGAGGTACTCCGTAATTGCCAGGTAACGAGGACCCCTCGAGAGCGGCGTCGATGGCCGCCCTCTGTGGTATATTGCGGTGGATGACGGGAGTGAATGTAATGTGCGGTGGTATAATGCGGTGGGTGATGGGAGTGCATGTAATGGGCAGGGCTATAATGCGGTGCGCGATGGAAATGAATGCAGGGTGGACTTACAACGTTGCAAGGCATCCACCCCGAAGAAGCGTCCGCTTCCAGGGCGTCACCGCGCCCCCGCCATTCCATTCCTATTTTGTTGTCCCGAGGTTGATGCGGTCAGCAATTAGATACTTTTCGGATAAAAGCGGGCGGCTAGGGCGGGCTTTAATTGCCAAATGGCAAACACCCCCGGAAAACAGCGCCGGCATATCTGCCCGTTGTGGCCGCGCGATACAGGCGTACCGTGATGGAGGAGGTTACACGTTTGGAGGTATGCACCGTGTTATTGCCGAGCGGCAGGGCCGGGAATTCACCGAATGCTTTTGGAATCGAATTTGTTTGTCCTGCCGTGCCATCATTACCAAACAGGCAAACGCAATTATGCGCCCGGGGCCAGTGTTCCCCGTCGTCGGTGTAGGTATGCCACCCCGGTGGAAGTGGGGCAGACCGGCAGCCAGTTGGTCGGTGCAGGTCCTGACGAGGCACCCTTTGCTCCCTTCAGGATCCGCCAGGAGAAGAACGGTGGGGCCTGGTGTCCGAAGGCGCAGATCAGCAGCGACATCCGGGAGTACCTCGAGGTGGACTTGACGAAGGACCACCTCATCACGTGGACGGAGACCCAAGGTCGCTTCGGGAACGGTCAAGGCCAGGAGTACGCGGAGGCCTTCTTCCTGGAGTACTGGCGGGACGTCAAGTGGCATCAGTACAAGAACCTCAGAGGAGATCGGGTAGGTTGCACCGTCGGGCTCTCGAGTGTCTCGGGAACGCGCTCCCTTCCTACGAGTGACCGCTTCAAGGGGCTCTTCTCCCGTTTCGCAGGTCCTCCGGGGTAACAGCAACACCTACCTCGTGGAAAAGCAAAAGCTGGACCTGCCCTTCGTGGCCAGCCGCGTCCGGTTCGTTCCCTACAGTCAGCACCCCAGGACGGTCTGCATGCGCGTGGAGATATACGGCTGCGTGTGGGAGCGTGAGTTCCTGGACCATTTTTTGCTTCTTTTCTTTTCCTCGAGTTTGGGGGACCTCAAACGCAAATCTCGTCCGCGTTGCAGAGAGGATCGCCCGCTACTCGGCTCCAAAAGGTGAGCAGGTGGGTCCGAACGGTCGCACCGTCGAAGACACCTCCTACGACGGCGTCGAAGACGACGGGCTTATGGTCGGAGGTCTCGGCCAGCTGACCGACGGTCTCTTCGGGGATGACCCCGACGTCATCACCAGCGGCTCCTCCACAAACTGGGTCGGCTGGAGCGACCGGGACTTTGTCGAGCTGGTCTTCGAGTTCGACGAGGTCCGCGAGTTCGAAAACTGCTCCGTGCACACGGCAAACCTGCCGAAACGAGAGGTCGAGGTGAGTCCTACCTCCTCCTCCTTTCCGGGACCCGGAGGGACCTTGATTCTTCTATCTCCCCGTCCAGGCACCCGCTGCGATCTCGGTGTGGTTCTCCTACGACGGCAAGCGGTACCATCCGAATCCAGAAAGATTAGAATTCAGTGGGGACATCAGAACTCCCACGGGCGTCGTGTCGGTGCCTCTGCAGTCCAGGACGGGTCGCTTCGCCAAGGTGGTCTTCAGGCCGAGGTCCAAGTGGCTCCTCATCAGCGAGGTCACGTTCGAATCGGGTAGACCATCCCTTTCCTCTTCCATCCGCGGTCACCTTCGATGTCAAATTGTAAATATGGTTCCTTCACAGTCTCAGGCTCCAGGAACTTCTCGGGGGAGTCGCTGGACCAGCTCTTCAGGGCCTGCGAGAACGACACGGACTCGGAGTCCGACCTGGACGGTTCAGGGCCGGGTTACAACGAGACTATATTCGAGATCAACGCGAACCTCACCCCGGATGCATTTCCTGTGAGCAATTCGCAGACGTACATCGGTCTCGTCAGCGGTGCATTGACGGTGGGCGCGTTGCTGCTGACCTGCACGGTCTTTCTGATGAAGCAACGAGGTCGCAACAAGGTGGCCCTGCTGCAGAAGCACACCGCGCTGCTGTGCGGCTCCCCGGCACCGGGGATCACCATAAACATGAAGGACATCAAGCTGGCGACCCCGATAGTGGTGAACGGGCTTTCGCAGTCGAGGCTCTCGGTCAAGAGCAAGACCTACTCGGGGGACGAGCACGTCTCCCGCAGCGGAGAAAACACCGCCAGCAGCGAGTACGAACACTGCAGCGTCTACGAGAGGACCTACAAGCTCTTCTCCGAGGAAAACCTGGCCTACGAGCCGCACACCCACAAGAGCGAGCACTTCTCCAGCTGCAAAACCGACTACACCGGTACCGATCGTCTCCACCTACATATGCCAATTTTTACAGGACCCATCGCTGACCTCTTGACAATCCAGACGTTACAGATTTCACGAGCGAACGGAGCTTTCCCGACGACAAGCCGATGGACCGGGTGGTTCCCACGCCCTATCCCGTGAAGAGGCTCAGCCAGGCCTCTTCCAAGGCCAGCCACGAGGTCTACGAGGGCTACTACGCCGCTACGGATATATTGACGGTATGAGATCTCGATATAATAAATATTAGCTTTTAATCCATTGATACGAATCGGGGAAATCGGTCTACCTGATTTAAGATCAAGCGAAGAGAGCAACACTCCACGTCGAGTCTCTTCACCTCCCTGCATATACAGGACAGCATGCACCTCTCCAACACGACGACTTCTTACAACATCCAACACATCTCCAGGCACAGACTCAGGATTCTGGACAAGCTCGGGGAGGGTAGCTTCGGTCTGGTAGGTTTCACCGGGTTTGAGTAAAAGTTTCCCAGCTTCTCGGTGACAATTTCTGGGGTCCTAGGTGCACCTGTGCGAGGCGAAGGGCATCCTCAGTCCGGATCTAGGTACCACGCGGAATCGACAAGTCGTGATCGTGAGATCGCTATGGCGAGGAGTGACCGACTCCTTGAGGTATGTCTATCGCACCTGAAGGGGAAGAGCTACATGAAAAGGAGATCTGTTGGAAACGAGGCACGTACCATTTTTCAGGAAGGACTTCATGAAGGACATGTACGTCCTGGCCGCGCTGAGGGATCCCAACATCGCCCGGATCACGGCCCTGGTGGAGGAGGAGCCCTTCGGGGCCGTCTTCGAGTACGGGGAACTCGGCGACCTGCCCTTCTTCCTACGCAAACGCGAGAAATCGAGCGACGACTTGCCGTTAAGGTATGTGAAAAAAGCTCTCCTCCCCCCAAAAAAAAAAATTAAACGACCCTTCTTCCTTCGACAATCATCTCGTCAACGCATTCTTCAGCTACGACTGCCTGTTGAGCTTCGTCGGACAAATCGCCTCCGGCATGAAGTACCTGGAGAACCTCAACATCCCTCATCGCGACCTAGCGGCAAGGTATCCACCCGAAAATCGACACCCGGCGCGTCCTCCTTGAAATTGACATTTTTCCCCATACCTTCCCCAGGAATTGCATCGTTAACAAGAACCTGACGATCAAGGTGTCCGACCACGCCATGTATTGCAGTAAATACGAGCAGGATTACTACGTCAACGAGTACTACGCGAAGATACCCCTCCGCTGGATGGCTTGGGAAGCCGTGCTGCTGGTAAGTGCGCCTCCACCGATTTCGATGCCGAAACGTGTGGATAATTTCACGAGATTTTTTTTTTTTTTAATATATATACCGAGAACTATCGATGCTCGTCCATCAGGGCAAGCAGACATGCCAGGCCGACGTCTGGTCCTACGCCGTCACCGTGTGGGAGATCCTGACGAGCTGCGAGGACCAGCCTTTCGCGGACCTGACGTCCGAGCAGGTTCTGGAGAACTTCAGCAAGTGGTACCACCGGGGTACCACCGAGAAGAACCAGCCGCGGCTGCCTCCGCAGCCGTCCCTGTGCTCGAGGGACCTCTACCACATGATGACCAAGTGCTGGAGCAGGCACGCCGAGGACAGGCCCACATTCGAGGAGATCCACCTCTTCCTCAAGCGACTGAGCTTCGATTGAAGGGTGGAGGCCGCGACTAATCCGCTCGTAGCAGCGTGGACCAAATCGATTACAATCAGCTACGAAGCATCCTCATCGCGCGTGCTGCGTCCCGCAGGATGCTCTAGCCACTAACTTATGCTCAACTAGGTTTACCTTCATCCTCTAAGTATCTCTAAGATAGCTAAGGACACTTGCGTAAGCGTCGATCCTGATCGGTCGCCGGGACCTCCGGGGCCACCATCGACGAGAGGCAAGGAGGCCACCCGAAGGCCCTCCCCCTGGGAACCGATCGTCGATAGCGACCTCGGAGGTCATGGCTCCACGAATAGGATCAGTTAAATCGCGAACAACATATCTCGTCTCGATTTTCGTTGGTTCGAGGGGACCCGCGAAGTGCCGGTCTCGACGGAGCTCATCCCCTAGTACGCGGCCGCCTCGGCAGGACCTTCGGCTTCCTTTCTTCCGCCCGGACTGCCAGGCAAGGTGTCCTGCTCCTCGATTAACTGCCTCCCCTGTCTCTTTCTTCTCTCTACAAAGTGTGTGTCTGTGTATCCGCGGTTCCAATCGAGTTCCGTGACCAATAAACGGCCACTGGACCATCGGCGAACAGGATGGCGAACACTTCCGGTGCCACTGTGGGAAGTTCCGGTCCATATGTAGGGTCATCTCGTGGACACCTGGTCTTCTCGATCCTCGACCACAAGGACGCGGCAGGATCCGGTCGACCAGACTTTGCCGCTGCCAGGGACGTCCTGGTGTCCACCGCCCATCCGCATCCTCGATCGGAGTGGTGGGTCCTGGACGGGAGCTCCTTAACTTTAAGTGAACGTTTCATCAATTCCTGGTCGCACTCTATTATCTCCTAAGGTTAAGCTAATCGTGCTAAGATAATCGGGGCTATGTAATCCGTAATCCGAGGTCTATCAGCGAAAGTGGTCCTCTGTACATTGTCAATATCGACCCGCGAGACCCCGAGTCGGGGTCGGGCGGTCGAGTTCTTTGCGCCCCTCGCGGCGCACTAGGTGTTTGCAAGAATATTTGTATGTATAACGATTATCACTAGTCATTAACAGAAGGACTATTTTCTCGAACACTTGGAGAACATTAACGGAGTCCAGGACGGGTCCGACCCTCCGGGTCGAATCGAGGGCGTCGTAGAATTCTGACCCTTAGACGTCCCGGAGGGTCGGTGGTCCAACCGGCCGACATCGCTGAAGAAATGGTAGATTCAACCCGGTGGGGCGAAACTTCTCTTCGTCGAAGAGTCTACATATCGAGGAACGACTCCGTTTCACGGTTGAATCCAGTATTTTCTCACGGTGGAGGCGTAACTTTCGTCGAAAAGCTTCTTCCACTTAGACCGACCGGAACGTAGAGATAGCTCGTCGGTGAGGCTTTTGGTTACCAGATCGGATGATTTCTGACCAGTTATCGGAGGTGGACAATCAATTTCGCGTACTCGATCGCTTTGTTAGGGCGACCCTATTGTTGCTGTTGCTTTCCGTGTACATACGATTCCTTTCCGCGGTTTTCCTCTATAGTTTAACTACACCGGCTGAGGTTGTTTACCTGAATTAAAACGGAAATGATATATATATATATATTATACATACACACATAGACCTCTAAGGATTCCTGCGATCTATCAATTTTTATTAAACGACTCCGTAGGTCTACACGTACTGTAATCCAAGTTTGTAATATGAATTACCGTATTCCATTAAAAGTTATATTCTTAATATTTCCAGTGTTATAATCAATAAAACGAATTGTTATACCGTGGCCAACGGTGGATTCTGTTACGGGGCTCTCCGATTCTGGACTGTTCAGCGGATCTGGATGTCTTCGGCTCCTGTTAACTAATTTATGTCGAAGATTTATATTAATACTTACGCAGAAGATTTAGGGAACGTTTCTTCGTACTCTCTCTGCTTATCAAAAAGTCAATTCCCATCCTGCCGATAGTTGCACTTAGCCTTGATCCTGTACCAAGTATTTCGGCTTTTCTGTTCGATTCTGCACGAGAGGCGTTATGTTCATTTCATTGTGGAAATCCGCCAGCGTCTGTTCCCATCGTTCCTCGTAATATGTGCCCAGCAAGAATTTCGCCCTCCTCCCGGTGTCGACGGCCCAGGGCAGGCAGTGGTCGATATAGATCTTTCTCTGCCTGCAATTAAATGCACAGCACTCGATCTCTCATCTAATCGGCGTCAAGTTTTTTCGCAGCGAATACTCGGGACGCGAATCGAGGTCCACTTGCCTGGGTCGTAGACGAATCGCTCCAAAAATCGCTCCGGAGATGCACATCGGTAGGTGGGTCTGTAGAGCCTCCACCCACTTGACGGTCACTTCGCCCAACATCGTCGTCGGCATCTGGAGAACGGCGTGGAATATGTCGTGCACTTCTCTGTACCGCTGCATCACATAAGCCAGATCGACGTCATCGATAAACTTAACCGGAGCTCTTGAGTCCGGGGTGACTCCCTGCACCCATTCGACAATCTATGATTAAGCTCTTATTCGACTTGTGGTGACTTAAGGGCTCCCCTGGTGATCTTCCATGTTTAGTACCGATGCAATTTTTCAACAAACTAAGCTAGATTATGTGGGAACTAAAGCTTCGATTGACTGACAGCCTGGGTTCTTACATTGACTTCCAGAAACTCGGAGTAGGTCTTCCCAAGTGTGTCGGGTGGTAAACTTTTCAGATAGTCGAGATCCAGGGTCGAAGAGTTTATTCGAGGCTTTTCGGCTAGCAGACGTTTTCCTTCCAAATCACTTTCCATTCTTCGCAAGCACTTGTCGAGGGCACTTCCACCTGTAGTTTCACCCATGCAGGCAATCATGTCATGTCGATATGGATTTGAGAGCGATATAACTGCAGAACCCGATGCCAGGATGGCACGCTGCAGCATTGATAGCTGTACGTGATGCTTCGCAAAGTCTTCCACAAAGGCTGCGGTAGTTGACAGGCTCCTAACGGGGAAGCCATCTGCAACCGTTTAAGGACAACAGAGTTCTATCAGTCTCCGATGATTGGGATTTATTTCTGTACATCACTTGTACAAGATTGTTAAAATTAATTATTAACCTAAAATTATAACGGACATCTTGAAATTATTCTAATAACGTTATTTGGCCTGAACGATAAGCCACTGTACTATGGCACAATGATGTCCTCGGTAACAGCAACTTTGCTTTGGTATACACTGTACATGCACGATTTGTGAAAAGACTCTTTACATTTCACTTTGAATAATAATTTATCACCGCAGCTACTTATTCCCTAACTCGTTTTAAGTAATAAAAACATAGCAGGAAAGTAGTATATGTACGTCATAGGAACTACACCAGACATTTTATCAATCCGAAAGTAATACCATTTTGGTGCGTTGTATACAGTCTAGCATCAAATTTTTTAAAACACCCTCCATCGATATAAACATCTCAGTCATTCCATATAAACACATCTACCTAGTGCCAATATGGCCTGTAGCAATTATACAACTTGTATCTTAATATCCTGCTCTTCTTTTAGAGGAGAATATTTATGCTCGGCAGGCTCCTTTCTACGGAAGGTTACCCACGTGTAGACGAGACTACCGATCACGCTAAAATTTAGACCTATGAAATTCACCCAGGAGAATATATAATCCCCACCTATGACCATGCCTAAATATGTAACGCAAATGTTCTTCAAACATCCAACTATAGTAGTCGTTAAGGCTGAATTATACATAGTACATAAAATAACACTGTAAGAGAGCACAAATCCCATGACACAGGACAGTGCAAACTGAAGAATAAAAAAGAAGTTACTCCAGTATTGGAAATCCCTTGTTTTCTCAATGTCGCCCGACCACCAGGCTAAGGCAAGAGAAGGCAATATCATAAAAAGGGAATTATAATACATCAGTCCAAATTTTCCTAGCTCCTTCGAGTCCAACTTTTGTTTCATGTAGACTCCGTTAGCAGCAGTAAAAAGGTCGTTCAGTAAAATAAACACGTAGCCCTGGAGATTGAAGGCGAGGTCGTTGGAAGCCGCTAGTAAGGCACCCAGCACCATAGTGTACACGCTAAGCTGCACAGAAGTGCGTGCCTTTATTTCTAGGATGTAATACTCTGCAATCATTGTCATGAGAATGCTGAACCTTCTCAAAGCCGTGAACATTGGCAGACTCAACTGCTTCGTTCCTCCGAGACCAAAGATCATGTTGCCAATGTAAATTATCGGAAGGGGCCAGATCTTCGTAAAGGTGGAACTCTCCAAGCTAGGAAAATCGACGTAGCGAAGCTTTTTCGCTATCATAAGCACTGTTATCGTTGTTAGCATTTGACCAATGCCTAGGATCTGGAAGGACGGAAAGTCAAACGACGTGAGGACAGTCTTGTTGACCACCGTTATCATGAACGAAGAGATCCCATAGAAGAGTGCAGAGCCAACCCGGACCAGGATGACGCTGTGCTGGGTCCCCGTCATGTTAATTCCTCCTCTCGAGGCGGTCAATTTTCCTAATCAGCTCACCAGCATCGCGCAGCTAACCGCGACTATCTGACGACTTAACCTCTCCACCCTGTAAATATCGGACAGAATTCCTCATTATGATAAGATATCATACGTACATCGCAATAACCTTCTCATCCTTGCGCCGGTCGAGTTGGCTTGAATCTCCTGAAGTCTGCAGCTCTAGACCGCTTCTTCTTTCTTCAACGCCAGTCCGGCTACAAATTTTCGTAAATCGTTTGATCTGTTTGACACAGTTTGATACTTTGTTCAGTTCATCAATATCGAGCCTGGAGCTTGATCGGATAGCAGATTTGATATCAGGAGCAACTAACGGTCCGTCGACCCAGGCCGCGACCACTGGCTGGACCCGGTTCCCGGATTGGGTGCGGCCTCACCCAATCCGGGAGCTGGATCGCAGCCAGAGGTCGCGATATGTAGGGTTAACTCATTTCTGATAGAGACGCCTATATTTCGCTAGCGTTCCGTGGACTGGTCGAAGATACGTAGCTGCTGTTATCCAATGGGAGATCCGAATTCTCGTATGTCGTAAAGGAGTCTTCTCATTGGTTGGACTTGCAAGAAATGACGACCGTGAGTGACGGTGATAAAATAGCTGTAAATATTCGATTTTCATACATGTGAATTGGATAGTTTGCTCACATACCAGACGGTACTATAAAATGTTCAATCGAAAGTCTAATCGGATGTTTTTTGAAAGAGTGGACGGATAATTCTGAAGTTTCTTCGTTGAATAGGTTATGTGTGGCTGACAGGGAAACTGTCAATGACGATACCTGGAGTTCTGAATTTTGTTTCCAGTACGTCTTCTTTCTGATTTTAATAATGTCACAGGATCTGTTTTAAATGATTAAAGGTGTTTTAAAAGTATTATATTTTAGGTGTCATAATTTAATTGACGTTAATTACAGGGATACATAATAATATGCCGAGTCAACTCACTTTAGAGTCTCAGAACACCAAACCTGTTCTTTGGATGACCAAAGCTTAATTGTATTTTGGTAGTAGGCAAATACTAGGATAATTAAGTTGTTGAGATAATCTATGATTGTCAGTTGATGAAATTTATTTGAGATGATCGATTCGATCCCATGTCCTCAAAGTACTTAAAATAATGGATTATGAATACATGCCCTTTTATCGGGAGAAAGATATTCATAATAAATGTTGCGGGGGAAAACTATGGTGTATAAAGGTACTTAACATTTGTGACAGATTTTTAAGCAATCATTCAACATTATTTTAAGCATTTCAAGTTTTCTGTTAATGAGCTATTTTTCAAGTTCAGCATTTACTTGCTTGATATATAATTTTAGGACATCTGTGGCATCATTTGCGCGATACTGACATGGTTTCTCATAATCTATGCCGAGTTCGTAGTGACCGCTGTTATACTTATCCCTACCATAAACACGTTTTATTCAAGCTTGAATATGGCGATATTTCAAACGCTAGCATTTTTAGCTTTTACGTCTCATCTTAGGACAATGTTTACAGATCCAGTAAGTGCAATAAGTGTCGTCGATTTATTGTCATAAAGATACACTAATCACGTAATTTGTAATTTACTGTAATCCAGGGTGCGGTACCGAAGGGAAATGCAACAAAAGAGATGATACAGCAAATGGGGTTTCGAGAAGGTCAAGTAATTTTCAAGTGTCCCAAGTGCTGCTCGATTAAACCTGATAGAGCCCATCACTGTTCGGTTTGCCAAAGGTAAATATGTATAACGTTCATAATACGTTTACGAGTTACTTATATTCAAGCTCAATTACAATTTTCATTTACAATTTTACAGATGTATTAGAAAAATGGATCATCATTGCCCGTGGGTCAACAACTGCGTAGGAGAAAATAATCAAAAATACTTTGTACTATTTACTGTGAGTGGTAAAATGAAAGATCATAAATACTTGATAAAGAAATAAGAAAAATGGATTAAACAGGTCATCATTTCTGTTCCAGTTCTACATAGCAGGCATCTCGTTGCAATCGCTACTTCTTTGTATACAACAGTTCACCACGTGTGTTAGGCAAGAATGGAGAGATTGTTCAACGTTCAGCCCTCCGGCAACTGTAATCCTACTTTTATTCTTAACGTTTGAAGCACTCTTATTTGCCATATTCACCGCTGTAATGCTTGGCACTCAGCTACAGGCCATTTGGAACGATGAAACGGTAAGCCAATAAGAGGAACTTACTATGAGATTTTTTTAGAAGTTTCTCAAATATTACTCGTGACGTAATTATGATTTTAGGGCATAGAACAACTAAAAAAAGAAGAAGCTAGGTGGGTTCGCAACAGCAGGTGGAAATCCATACAGGCTGTATTCGGAAGATTTTCTATCGCTTGGTTTTCGCCATTTACGTCGCCACCGAACGCTAAGACTAAGTTGGACTCTTATTTATATTCCGTCTAGACTAATGTGGATATTAAAGATAACATTAATGTATGTCTGTGGAGTAACACCGTTGTATGGGTGTGCGCGCATAGTTGCAGACGCGCCTTGTAAATATTATACAAAGTGTGACATGATCGTACACCTACGCATCCACACAAATTACGTTCCAGTACAAGGAGTGTACAACACGAATTTTCTTTCACTTCCTCTTAACAAAGGCGTTAAGAGTTTGAAATTCTGCAGGACAAAAAGTAAAACTACTCGCTGCAGCAAGAATTCATTTGACATTAACATTTAGCAAATGTGTATATTTGTAATGTGTTTAACGTCAAAGTGCTTTGGGATATATATATGTATATTCAGCAATCTGCAGACATTCCACGGATACCTAGTGCACGCGTGTAAATAATACTACCGAGGTGTTTTTACGAAAAGTACCGGAAAATGTTTACAATTTTATACTGCTGACTTTCGTTTTAACTTAAGCGTACGGCCAAGCAAGATATTCCGGAGGACGTGTTCATTGCGTCCGCCATTTTTAAACCGTACCTTTGCTTGTGTGGTGTGCCCTTCGAGTTGGAACCTAAGCGAACTATCGTGCGTCTTACTTTAATTAATGTTAATACAAAGTGCAATGTTATGCTCTCTGGCGTTGAGAAGAATCGACAGGCCGCTAAGCGGTGGTCCAAATTTCGGCTATTTTGACCTCATCGTCTACTTAATTATCGACCGTTTGCATCTCCACTGCTCGATGCTTCCACGATATTATTTATTTGTACAATTAATAGGGGATTATTTAACATTTTCCAAAATAATTCCGACGGCTGTACACGCGCAATCTCCTCCGAATTCGTCGTTAGGAGGAGCGGAAAGTAATCCACGTACTTCCACGTTGCTGTAATTAAAAGACCTCGCGGTGTAATCGCGACCCTCGATCGTGTCAAGAATAAAAGAATAAAGCGCGGCCTCCGTGCAGCCGTATAACGAAAATGTAGAACGATGTCCAGCTTTTACTAACCCACTTTCGGGAAAGGGACGTCTCTCATTATTCATCGATTCGGCCAAATCGTGGCCGCACGTGGGGACCGTTGCAATGCGGCGAAATTCGGGGCTTTATGTCTCTTTTTAATGCGTCCGTCCGCAATTTCTACTTTGCCCGTAAAAAAAGCAAAAAAAAAGAAAAAAAAGAGAACGACCGGGTGGAAAGCGCACTTTTGGTATTTCGGGACGAAAAAGCCTCACCGGCTCGGCGTGTGTCCGATTCCGAGAATTTCCCCAGATTTTTCGGGGATGGTATAAAAAATAACGGTTATGGGGTTAATTCCAGAGGTTGTCCGAAATTGTGCACGGGTCGTATACATCGTGGCATTGAACTTGGCGATGAGTTCGAGATGGGATTCTCTCAGGGAACGCGTTCGCGTTTTTCTCGAAAAGCTTGTCGGGCGATGAAGCTGCGATTCAGGTTTTTAAGTGAGCGCACTGTATTACGATGTATAACCGCGTTACTCCCTCTTTGGGGACGGAAAAGGCGACGCGGCGTTTCCACTTTCATCGGCTTCCGTTTTGACTTTCGAGAGTAAGGCAGAGTCGGCCGGCGAGGCAAGGCCGTAAAGGTAAACGGTTCAGCGACTCGGGATTGGGCACACCGAGGACGGCTTTCACTTTTGCTTCGTCTATGGTGAGTTTTAAGATAGCCTGTCTCTCTTTCCTTCGATTTATTCATTTTTACGCGGTCCGAGCGACCAAGAAAGTATCGCTCGATTGTTTTTCTCAGGAGATAGCGAGAGGCGTCGGGTCCATCTCCGATACTTTGCGATCTGGCGTCCCGCCGCCATTTTGTTCCGCGGGAGCTGGACTCGTACTCTACTGTTGCAGGGAACTTTCGCTTCATCTTTCCATATTTACTCTCGATCTATCCGAAAATTCACCGTAAATATTCTCTTCCACTGTTTCAGGTAGCGTTAATCAACCACTTTATCGAGGAAGGCGGAGAAATAACGGCGAAATGAAACGTGAAGTAAGTCGAGATCGTTGTCAAGAATTTTGACGCCATAACGATGAGCGTCTTTTTGCAGATCGTCAGGTTAATGTGCCTGACGGCGTGCGTTTTTGCGTACGACCCTGACGACGCTATTTTGAAAGACATCCTACTGCCGAAAGGAGAGTTCGAGGCGTTCTATCTTAAGGGGAATCAAGCGGAGGAGCAAAACGCAGTCAGACCGCCTCATCTCCATGGCTCGTTTCATCAGTACCGAAATCCAGCCCTGGTTGGCGCACCTAATAGTGCCGCTTACGGCTTCCGTTTCGACGGAAAACGGCGTTTTAATTACGATTAACCCAATCGTGATCGTTATCCAGTCGATTGCTCCTTACCGTACCTCGCCCATGAAATGTAGAACCGAATAAAGGTGTTGCGGGGAGTACACCTTGTATTTTTGTAAGTTCAAAGGACCTCGAGTCCTTGCGTCCATCCAAAGGTGGGAAATTCTCCCGAGAGCCCTTTAACGCGAGAAATAGACTCGTTTCGCCTGGAAAGAACTGAACACGCGGAATGTAGCTTAGTTTCCCAGGATTATAAGCAAAACCTGTTAATAGATCTGCTTGTTAGGACCAAGTAGCGTCGTCGCTAGGAATGGCCGAACGATGGCTTCGTGTTCGCTCGTCCAGAGAACTCTCATTTTGCTTAAGGCTATTTCCTAGTTTCCCTTTCATCTACTCTCGAGCCGCGAGAGAGGGCCCGCTCGATTTAGAGGTGCAACGTCGATAAAGACGCGGAATGACCGCTTCTGTCTCGCAGTCAGCTGACATTGACATTGGACGGGTACGATCCGTTTAGAGACCACTGCCAGTTTTCTTTTTAATTCCCCGCGATCCTCGACAATTATCGCGACTCGTTCCTTGGAATCTAAGAGAGATTGATTGCAGGAAGTCCGTTTTGACGTCGACGAGCTGGCTTGCATTTCAACGAGCCTGGGGCGACTGCATCTGGCTGCGTCTCGGAGGAGAAAGGACCTCGGAAAGGGAAACTTCACCTTCTCCATGTAAGGGCCAAAATGGCAGGAATTTGTTTCTAGCCGAAAATCCGCCGAAGTGAATCCGGGGTTCCCTCTGGGAAAGATGTGGAGACAAAGGCAAAAGCGAGAGCGACTAGAGGGAGCACGTCCACTGTCGCGGTCACCTGCACAAGACCTGGCCCTTTCCCTTGGGTCGGTCTTTCTCGAGATAGGATCGACCCGAGCGTGCCTTTTCGGCGGCTTTCGACGGAATGGAAAGCAAACTGCGGGCAAGTCGATTGCCTCAATAATGTCAAAGTGTACCGTGATCTAGTTTTCCTAGGAGCTAGCGCCTAAGCAGGGTTTTCGGGAGAAAACTCGTCACAGCGAGCGAATCCCCGAGCTGCAGCTAGACCAGTTTATCGGAGCAGGTTCCAATGGTGCAAAGAAGCCTTTAAAAGACGTGGGAATTGCGCGGCCATGACAGTTGCCTCCGCGGTCTTGACATCGGCAAGTGGATACGAGTGCAGACGACATGAGGCCAGTTCTTCTAGCTCTGGTGAGCCACCGAGCTGCTACAAGTGCAGTGGGGTGTCCTCGAATTATGCTAATTTGTACAAATTTATACTTGTTCCAGTGTTTCGCGGTGCTACTGAGTGCTGTACTTGCCAAGGATAAGGGACCGCCCGAGTATGTACGAGTTAGGAATTATCTTTAGCTGAATTTATTGGGGCATTGATTAACGATAAGAGATGTTCCCTGCAGGTCGAAGTCTTCTACGAGTGGGGTGAAGAAGTCGGGGCCGCATGCCGAAGCTGCAGGACCCAGGGAAGAAGTTAAGTCTCGGGCCTACATCCGGATCCGTCTGAATCCGCAGGAAGTGCGCCCCTTCAAGAAGCCTCTGCACTATTCTCGATACCGATACGGCAAGCCGAAGATCGGGAGGCCCCTGAAACCACGACGTTCCCACCACCGAAGATCCCTAGAGATGACGTCTTCGGAGGTCCAGGAGAGACTCGAAAATCCAGAGGTCCAGGAGAGGCTGGAGATTCCAGAGATCCATGAAAAGCTCGACCGAGAACCGTACAAGATCTACTTGGAGCCCTTGTCCTCTCAAAAACAGGAAAACAGAGGCTTCCTAGGCTGGATGATGGGGATGCTGGGAGAAGGGTCCGAAAAACCGGAAGTTGGCAAGGAAGAACCCCAGAGACGCAGAGGACCCCTCATAGGACCCGTTCGATTACCGGGACTAGGTGAACGCGTCTATATCCGGCACGTAGAACCCATGGGATACGAATCTAACCACGTGGTCGTCCATCTTGTAAATCGGGACCGGAAACTACCCAGGGGAACCTCGGGCACTCCTGGATTTCGAACTGTCCTTGACTCGCCATTTTCTACGGCGACATCTCCTTCATTTCCTGCGCCGAGCTTGGTGACGCCATCTTGGCAGAATCTTCAGCTGAACGCGGTCGGAGTTTTCAGGCCGGAAATCGTGGGAAACATTCGAAATACTCCGATGTTTGTTCAGAATAGCCTCCCTCGACCCGAAGGGAATTATTTTATAAATACTGGGAGCCTTCAGCCCAGTAGACAGCCATTTACGGTGCATCAGATGAGTCCTCAGCATCTCCCCGGGATGTTCGGGCAATCCAAGATGGCGGCCCACGCTTCAGGCACTCAATTGAAGATGGGACACCAGTTGCAAGAATTACCACTGTATCCGCCGTTGGCGAACGCTCCTCAGGGTCTTAACACTCCCGTGAAAATGGCACCTTCGATCGGAAAGGATGCCAGAGACGTTAATAGAAAGCCTTTCAAGGGTTTTCAGAGAAATCAGGACCTGCGCACCGCCCAGTCGCAGTCGTTCGGATCGGCGGTGGGTACTTTGAGGAACGGAAACGATCTGCTGGATCCTTTATTGGTGACCGGCAGGACGCAGGGGACCAGGGACTTGTCAAGGCCCCATCGGTTCGCCATCTCCAGTTCTAGGGCTAGAAATCGACATTTGGAGGATGGGAAGAAAGTCGACCAGAGAATTCCTTCGACGTTCCTGGGTGGCGGGCTTAGGGTGATCTCGGCTCCAAAACTGAAGTTGCCCTTGAATGAGAAGTTCGCGGGGGGGCGTGAAAATCCCAAGGAGGGCAGGAGCTATAACTCGATTTTTGACGATGGATCAGTTTTTCAGGAAGGAAGGTCCGCGAGGGAGTTCCTGGGACCGTCCAGAGGAGGGAACGTCTCCAAGGAGGTCTGGCAAAATATCGCTTTACTCACGTCGAGTCATCCTTGGAGCCAGAAATCGAAAATGGAACCATTAGAAGTCACCACCGCAAGGATTTTCAGCGAATCCGACGTTGGAGGGAAAAGCGGGAACCAATCCCTCAGGGTGGAGAATTTTGAAAGCGGGGTCGAAGGTCTTGATACCACCACTACTAGAAGATTCGTTATATATGTAACGGAGAAACCGACCTCGAGTGCGATCTTGAATTCGAGCACTTCGAGATCCAGCTCGACCTCCTCGAGCATCCACAACGATCACCAAATTTATGGTTCCAACGATCAGGACGCAATTCAGGAATTCCAGTCGATGCGAATCAGCAATAGAACTGGGACTTATCAGTAAAAAAACCAGGGATGCTTGCCGAAAATCCGAAATTTCTTTTCTTTTTCAAAGACAATCAGGCGTTCAAGTGACTATGAGAAAGACGCTCGTAATGATCTTCTATCGGAGAAAATACGTACACGTGGGTCTAATGGTTATTTATATACACTTAAATAATATATTATGAAACTACTGACTATAATAACCGTCGATTATGCGTGTACACGGATTTACTCCAAAAGGCTTATGCTTACATGTGTTCAGTTACTTCTTTATCTTTTTTTTTTATCAGCGGTGCGTTAGCGTTACACTAGCTTATATTTATTTCTATTTATACGTTGTTATTAAAGAGTTTTATTTACCAGCGTGTCTTTATTCCCGAATATGGGAGCAAAGAGGGAGACGATTGCCCTTGGACGTGACGGTCCTTTTTTTAGAGATACGAGGTGTGTGTAATTTCTTCTCGCGAAACGAGCGGAAGGCATTATCTCGAAGACGCTCGTAAAACACGTAACGTCATCCAGTTGCGCAAATCTCTTTACAAGATTATTAAATCTCTCCGGAAGGTTACCGTACGCAGGGTAAACTCATATCTTTTACCACCTCGAAATAATTAGCGGGCAAAGAGCGGTGTGAAAGAAGCCGCCGACTTTTCACTTCCGACTAATCTTCCGGAAGTGAAGTCAAGAACAAGACTTCCCGACAGGTGCATTATCTCAGGTTCATTGTAGATACATAAATGTATAAATTGCAACAATTTCTGCAAGGAGATCGGACTCGTTTCAGCTCCTCTCTCGATAGCCTAGTTCAGTTTTTTCGTCGTGAAATTCTTGTGGGTTTATCGCATGGTTTATCATGCGTTTTTCTATTATCTTAAGTGCAGCATGTACAGAGTCGTATCCGATCGCGGTCGGCGTTAAATCGGGGCGGGGTTTCGGGATGATTCGATGCACACCGCTAATTTTCTCCTTTATATATAAAGGTAAGAGCTCCGTCGTCCCTTTCAGTGCAAGAGGCATCCTTACTCTGCTTGGAAAAGTCGCGGAAAACTTAGAAATGGCCGGGAAATTCTTGGTAAGGGAGTCCTAAAAATTTCCACGGTCTTCCTTGGTTACATTGATATAATTATCAATTCATTCTCATATTTTATTCCGTTGCAGTGTCTGCTCGCCATTTTCTTTATCCTGTCCCTGTTGCAGGGAACGTCCGAATCGTAAGTCCTTTTCCCTTCCCAGTTACAATTTTTTAAATAAAAAAAAAAGTGGGTACATGGGCAGGGATAAAATTGTTGAATAATCGAAATTATTATTTTTCAGGAAGAAGGTCGTCATCCACGTCCCTTATCACGTGAAGAATATCAAGCATACCCATACGATCTATAAAGTGATCCCTCATCATGACAAGGATCATCACCATGATTCTCACGATGATCAGTACGACATGTATTAATCATAAAAATAATTCCTGAGTTTGCGAGGACCTTTCAAGAATTCCATCTGAAAAATCCATCATCTTGTGGTACAAAAGGAAACAACAATGCATAGTCTGTTCTACAGTATTATAGGATTAACGATTAAAGATAAAATAGAATGGTGAAATATATACGAGAGTCTGTTACGTCCGTCTTTAATTTAAATAATTCCCCTTCCTATTTCTATGTCCTATATTTCATTTTCAAAATGGGATTAAATATAAGTCCGCAATTTATCTTGCAAAGGGCACCACGAAAGGCTTTACTCGGGTGTAAAAACGAAATCCACTAAAACTTGGAAAGTAGGCACTTTCTCTGAAGAATTTCCAGAAGCCATTATGCTCTTCACACTCTCCTAGGCCGCAACTAATTGCAAGGTAAAAAGAAAGATCAATGCAGAAGAATGGCATACGTTCAGAAGCCATTTACCATGCAGATCGATGGGGTGCCGCCATTTTGGTTCCCGTGGAGAACGAAGTACCAGAGATTTCGAGATTATCGTATTCCTTGGCAGCTCGATTCCCATATGAAGACTAATAAAACGCAGGGCATTATCTCCACCTGAAATTGCCCGTAAAATGATCCGATTATGCAGGTCGTGGTTTTTACCTGCAGCTCTAATCACTGCCAGGAATTCCGGTAATTGCAGACTCATCGTGAAAGAGCATTAACAGCCGTGATTAGTTGTTGGAAATTAATTATTCCCACTAACGAGCTTCCAAATCTACGCATTGTTACAGCTTTGCAGGATAGCCGCCGCGCTAATTGTGTTTCCCCTATTTCGTACCATGGCGATGCATCGCACGAATAAGAACAGCAAAAACGAAAGAAACTGGTCGTCACAAAAAAGCTGCGTCTGTGCCAGGGAAATTTAATGTTTCGAGAGCAATTCGCGATTTCGTGACCACGGATCATCGACTCACCGATCGCAAAGATGATTTTGCCAGCATTTCACAGTGACAGTGAACTTCACCGAGTTCTGCTTTTTCCCTCCACCGAGTCACGATTTCTACGAAGTCGCCGATAGCAAAAGATCGTACTAGACAGGGCGAAAGCGTTCGGCATCAATAACCTTGCTAAGGATTCTCATCTCGGCGCCACCGCAAGAAGAGTCAAGCAATAAACTGTAGGAACGACAAAAAGACCGCATATAAACGAAGACCCTGGACGCAGGCGTCAAACGTCGCTAGAACTTCATCCTCTAAGGTCCTGCTTGTCGCAGTCCACCATAATGAGCCTTCCGAGAACGGTAACTCTCCACCTCGGGAATTCAAGATCGAATATCTCCAGGACCGCTCCACTTGAAATCGATCAAAAGTCCCCTGGACGTTCTTCAGCAGTGAACCTTTCGTCTAACTGCAGATTATTTGCAGAAATTCGCCGCATTCGTGCTGTTCTTCCTTACCAAATGCGTCGCGGGGAGCGGAGGCGGCCATGGTGGACATCAGTACGTATCGTGTCCCGTAGTCCGTATCTTCGTTCAGTAACTTCGATTTTTTCTCCTATTAATATAAAAACAAATTCCACCGTGCAGCGTGCACTTCAAGATCCACGTTCCGGAGATCATCAAGCATCATGTCCACACGAAGACCGTTCTCATCCACGTGCACACGGGGCCGAAGAAGAAGGAGCCCCCGAAGGAGATCCACACCGGGGGCTGGAACGCCTGGAGTTCCTACGACGCTCAGAAAGGATTTGCAGAGTCTTTCCACATGGGGGACGACCATAAGGAGTCGTTCAAAGACACGTTCAAGGACTCCTGGAAACCACTTACTCATCCAAGCCCTAAGGACAACTACCAGGACCTGAAGGATGCCCAGGAGCCAATTTTGTCGCCCTTCTACGACTCCTATTTTCCTCAAGAAGAGGTCCACGACAAACCCATCAGCGGCCAGATGATGGACCACCTGATGGTCCAGTTTGGTCACCAAAACCACAATGGGCACATGGGTTACACCTATCCGACCCAACATCACTCTCCCTATGCCGTTCACGAAGACGTGGACGATGTGCCCCATAATGACATTGATGACATTAATGACATTAACGACAACCATGGCTACCATGAAGAGTCCCATCACAAAGGCCTTCACTCGGAGATGGGTCATCTTCGGAACAACGACTTCAAGAACTTCTTCGACGATAAGCAGGAAGAGGCGGATTTTGCAGAGGAAGGTTACGACCATGAAGTGCACGATAACAGGAAAAATCGATATTATGGTGCTGCGAAGAAGCGCAATAACCACAGGGATCGTGGAAACTACAAGTATATGGACTACTTCAAGCCAGCAATGGAAGCTAGGTAATCCTTGGTCGAAGGTTGGTCGAAGGTGGACCAGTATCTTTTTTCTAGATGCATAAATAATTCTTGACAATCCGTTCTCGAAGTGGTCCGATCGAATTATCGAGGGATGACATCGATGGGGTAGGAGCAATCTTGATGACGCCCATGAGGAAATTGTTGCAAGGATAATGACTGTTTCATTGGATATGTAAATATATTATTCGGTTCTTAGGATCCCACTGCTGGTAGAATTTTTATCCATTGTATTTCTAGATCTGTATATAAGTGTACGTAATGTATAAATAAACTTGTAATTTTTCAACCTGACACCCCATTCGTTCCGTCGATTGCTGTTTCTATTGTAAATATTCAATCCAAATTTTTTTCCATTTGGAATTGAATACTTAATGCTGTTATTTTTGGATGAAGGATATGTTTCTATGCAACGTATTAATTAACAATTCATTTATTATTGTACAATTCAGTAAATGGTATGATTAGTCAGCCATTGGTACAGTACTCGTCGGTCAGGGAGAATCAAGTACATCACCTCTTCAATTACATATAATTTATTTGAAACAACATGGTAACAAAAGGTACAAGAACCCGAAGGATTAACAGTAAGAAATATATACACAAGTGAGACATGACAGGCGCATAATGAATTTTTTTTTCTTTTTTCTCCAGGGGAACGAAAAAATCTACGCGAAAAGGTAACCGTGCAATTTTCACGTATTTCCGTCTTCAACGCAATTAAACATCTTCGTCAATTGAAGGAAATTACTAACGCGTCTTCGAAATAATAAATAATTATCGCCGCCTTTTGTCGAACGGGGAATGCAGAATAAGGGAGACGTCCGTACCGAGAGCCGGAAATGTGTCGAAAATAATACTGGCGGTTTTGGACTAAAGCAGAGAGATAGGGATCGTTAACAATAAGATAATTAAATGAATTTGGTATAAAGAAGGGCTTTGCAGCCCTTAGTGACCCTCGTGACCACCAAAGCCTCCGCCAAAGTCGCCGCCACCTCCACTGGATCCAAATCCACTGTGTCCTGACCATCCACCGATATCGTTCCCTCCACCATGGAGTCCATGACCACCTCCACCCCCATGGCCGCCCAAATCAACGGGGTGTCCCACAGTATATCCAAGAACTTCGTACTTGTCACCTCCGCCGCCGCCATGGTGGACGTGCTTCGTGATGGTGTGCGTGTGATGGATGGTTTTGATCTTGTAGGGCACGTGGATGACAACGTGCGAGCTGTGGAGATAAAATCGGGAAAAATCTGTAAATTAACCGACACGTAACTTCAGGACGATTTTCTCAGTCGAAACGATCTCTGGGTGCAGGAAAAAGAAAAAGGTATTTTCTTCCGATCTCTGGAACGCAAGACTCTTGCCCGCCCTATATTTTAGGATTTATCGCGTCTTAGGTAACGGAACCCGGATGAAATAACATAATTTCCTGGCGCACGGAATTATTACGCGTCGACTGGTACTTTTGGTCGCGGAGGGACAGGAAAAAGAAGTCCTCGAAAAAGCCGACGCGGAAACTCGTAAACGCGCCTTCGACAGTTGTCATCGAGCCCGAGCAAAGATGGCGGCGCGAAAAAGGGTGCCGTAAAAATGGCGGAGTTACCTCACTCCATTCCACGGTTGGATTTCTTCGAGGGAATAAAATCCGCCCATCCGGCGGGGATTATCAATAATAATTCCGACGTAATACCCTCGTTTAATGCCCGGCTTCGACGTAAAGAAATTAAATAAGGCCGCGCGAAACGCGACCGGAAGCAAATCCGTCGGAACCCGCGGATCACGATATCGCGATACCATTTTGCCAGGATTTCCGCGAACCAGTGAAATCACCGTCGATCTCCCCCCGGAGAGCTCTGAAACTCCTTTGTCGGAAATAAGACGACGTCCCGGCTTATCGGCCCCATGGGACTTATCGGAACTTACTGCCCTCCGTGTCCTCCATCCGCCGAGACGATATTAAAGACGGTCGCGGCGAGCAGGACGGCCAGCTGAAAGAAAAAAATAATTTATAGAACGTCTCGGTGAATCAAATTAATTAACGATGGATACTCTAGATAGAGGGGAGGAGAAATGAGAGTATCCGAATTTTTGGCGATTTTCTCAGACCGCGAGGTCGCCTATCAGCTGACGCGAGGCCGTCCCACGTGGGTCGGGGCCCTTAGGGAGTTTTCTAGTTTTCTAGGGACTTCCAAGTGGCTCACGTTATTTCCAACTTACCGAGAGACTCGGTATCATCTTGCGTGCAAGTGTAGGCTGCCCTGCACTTGTGACAATCGGACTCGCAGCTCCGCACTTCGCGCCACTCGGTTTTGATCTGATAGACACTCGGCACGCGCTCTCCCCTTTATATATAATGTCTAGGACAGCAGTGTCAGAGTAAGAAAGGCATACACAGGGGAGCTTTACATGCAACTGCGACCGTGAAAGGAAGTGCCGAACAAAAAGACGCCCATCCGCAGCCCACCGTTTATTTTCCGCCGTTCACGTTACGGTTCGCACTTTTTCTCGGCACCCCTCTACCGTGCTTCGATATCTTTCTCTCTTCGGCGTTTAGTCGAAAGCCACGGGTGAACGTCCAAGATCAAGATCGCCGACATAATACCGGACGTTTCACCGGAATTAGACTTCACCCAATCGGCCATCTTTCTCCTTCGAACCTCCCAAGGAGATTCTCTCCGATGTACCTTACCTGTACCTCACCCCTAATCCTGAATTTGTTTTTATTAACTCCTGCATCATGCAGCTAATTTTCACGATCCTGTCGAATGGGGGGTTACGTAATGGCATTGGGTATTGATAAGAGCGTCGGAATTTGATTTCCGATTTACACGAATTATTGGTCTTGGTTCATGTCGGCGGTATTTTATGCTCGCCTTGACATTGACAATAAACTATCGCTAATGGCCGCAGAAGACCTTTCTTCCCAAGAAGCCGCCACAAAATGGCGGAGGCGCCGTTTTGCCGCTAATGGGGGAGAAAGGGAAACCGATCGCGGCCTCGTAAAGTCGGCAACAAGTCCAGCATAACTTCACATTCGCCTACCGTCTAGGGGGCGAATTGCACGGGTGAAAAGAAAAAGGATCAACGCGTTCGTGATTTGTGCCTGTAGAGCGTCCGCGCCAATGCCACGGCATTGAACTTGGCGGACTCTCTATTGCAATGAATCCACCAAGTTTCAGAATATCGAGTATCCCTGGAAATCTCCACCACTGGTCTCCGGTGACATGAAATCTCCCAGGGTTCGCTGGAATCCGCAATACGACGCCACTTATCTGTTTCTCTGCGTTCCCTTTTTTGCGCTTAATCGGTCAGACGGATCGCCGATATATAAACGAAAGAAAGTCCGTATGTTATTACAAACGTTCCAGGTGGAGTTTCCTGCCGAATGTTCCGGTCCATCACCTGAGAAACAGGTAGAAGAGCACCGGACGTGACCGGTGATAACTTCAATCTATTATAAAATGATAAGATCCGCTTGCGCAACCGATAAGTGTTATCCAGTTTCTCCTGGCTTCCTGGGAATGGTAAAAAATTCGGTGCATCGGTTCTAACGTTCTCTGATTATTGCTCTAGGGTTAATCTAGTACAGTGAAATGTTCCTTACTTATTTCGATTTCTTATCAGCGACAGGGCACGCGTATGATAAATGCACTGCCGAGAGCGCTCGTAAGATTGACTTTTCTCTCGTCGTCGGCCGGGTAGAAAACTTGCCAATTAAAAAGGACAGCGGCGAATGGGTGCGCTCACTTTCCTGCTACGTAGGCGGGATCGTTTCTCCCATTTGTCGGATCTGGATGAAGAGATAAAAAAGTCGGGAAACGGGTGCAATAAAGATCGAGGCGAGGCGAAGAGCGCCCCTTTATTGCCCCGAGTTCCACATTCTTCGGGGCCCCTTTTTCCTCCAACAATGGTCCCCAATTTATGCACCCGTTGAAAAAGTAACGCTACAATTTGCAGCCGGCTCCTAGAAAGTTAATTCCCGATCTAAAACGCGTTATGGCCGCGATGAAGCTCGCTTATCGCAGAAATTCCCTTTCTACCGGAACTGAAACTCGAAGTAGAGGAGAAATTAAACTTCTCCCAAATAAAAAACAAAACAAAAAAAAATCAGCGATGGGTCTAAATTAAACGAGGCGTTTCTAATGACATCATTCCTACGAGACGCGTCATCATTGCCCGTTATTACTCATAATTATCCATTATTACCCGGTGCTCGCGATTCGAGGACAATGGTGAGCATCTTCGCTTAAGTGGAGCGCGACGTCGGGACAAAGTTTTCCTGAGAAACGTGGAGGAATATTTCGAGACAATGAGAGGTAATTGAACTAATTCCGATTTCTGGGGGAAATGGAGCAGGTCCATGGGGACCTGCGATCGAAGCTACAGTTAAGCCGCATCCCGGATTAATTTTGCAATCCTAGAATCTAGTGAGATAACGAGATATCGATTCCGGATCGATCGGCTTTGGTACCGAAAAGTGAGAACTGCCGTACGCGACTACCCGAGGAAAGCCGCCGCGAGATTTCCCCGAAAAGGCATAAGAAAATCGAATTAATAATTTAACGCCGGATTTTACGACGTCGCTCGGCTGAGATTCCACTTCCTGCAAAAAGATTCGCCTAACAGGTCGGAGCTACTGTTAAAAAGGAACGGCACCGAGCACGCCCGTTTCGTCGGCGGCTGTCCGCCGATCTCTCAGGTGGGAGATCCAGCTTCGGTTCTTTACCATACCCTGTATAAAAGCGAAGAGGTCGGGAGCAAAGCCCTCTAGTATATCCGGATCATCTGGAAGTAGCTCCTCTGGAACCTCGGGAGCTTCCTCGGGCGCCATAACTCTTAAATTACGCCCCTACCATTCCACAACTTCGCCATCATGCCGCCCTGGGTAAGTCGCACAAAAAATAATCATTCACTCTATCCGATGCATTTCACCGAAAAATACCCGAGGAGAAAGTTCTTCCAAATTATATTCGGAGTAACTTTTGTCTGAAGCGTTTCATTCCACCGCGTATCATTAAAGCTACAGGTTCCTCGGAAATCGAAATGGAGAGAAGGCGGTTCCGATTAATTTTTTCCAAGGATGGATCATCGTGGAATTCTGACTTTCTGATGCATGCTATCAAAAAACACTTAAGGAGAAAGTTCTTCAAAATATTGCTCCGAGCAACTTTTATTCGAAGCGTTTTGACGTATTTCGCATTGTTAGGGAAAGTAACTCCTTGGTGGTGTGGTAGAGGGAAGGTAGTTTCGATTTTTTTTTTTTTTGTAACGGGTTTGGTATCCGGTGGAGCGATAAAGTTCATTCATAGAAAATGCCCGATTTCACGTGTTTCGGGGGAGTTTACGATCTCGTGGAGAGTTAGCTCCTTGCAAGATGATTGGGCTATCGGTTCGCCGACGAAAAAGGCGGAGGCGCCTGATCTAGATCCCTTCGCGACTCTCCGTCATATTTCCAGCTGGTGGGAGATTCTGCAAGGTTGTTCTTTTATATCTTGTATAAAAGCGAAGAGGCTAGGTGCAAAGCCTCGCAATATATCTAGATCACTCGGGAGGGATACGTTCTCCTGGACCGCTCTCGACGCCGCTCCGATTGGCTCCATTTCCCCGAGAATCCTGATTAATTCGTCGACTTTATCAAAATGCGGTACTCCGTAAGTGCACCACCCTCTGGATTATGCTCATCCTTGTAGCTTGGAAATATTGCCGCGATTACTTTAAATTTCCCTCTTCGGGCTTAGCGTGCATTGATCGATCAAATCTCTCCTGATGAGTAGTTCACGTAGTCCGTATAAATCTGCAGGCCTCTAATTTGATCGTGAATAGGATTGATAAAATAAAACAAATAAAATGAATACTCATGCCGATATTAATTTTTCCAGGAGTCCCTGATAGTCCTGCTGCTCGTCTGTGGCCCGCTGTTGATCGATTCGTAAGTGTGGAATTTTAAATAGCCAATGAAGGTTGAGTCAAATCGTAGAATAATTAAATTGTCCAATGTCCAGGAAACGGGTAATGCTGATGGCCCACCAGTTGAGGCGAAGGTCTGGACCTTTGGGGCATTTTCGATCCCAGGAGGACTATTCGTTCCCGAAGAAGTCCTCGTTCATGAGTGGCGGATTTAGGAAGTATGGCGGTCCGTCGTCCTTCTCTAAGAAGGCTCTGTTCCTGAATAAGGACGCCTTTCCCGGTGGAGGAGACGACTTCGACCACGGCTACGAGGAGGTGAACAACGTCATGATACCACACGGTCCTGGGATATCGCACGCCGTGACGTTCGGGAAAGGCTACATCCCTTACGACAACATCAAGGACGATTTCTCTTTGAGTAAATCCTTTTCGACCAAGGACCTGGGTCTAAACCGCGAGCTGAATTTCGCGGCGTCCAGCGACGTCTCCAGGACGCGATCCAGCTTCCCAGACTCCAGGTCCTTTCTATCGGATGACAAGGACTCCTTGGAAAGCATAGAGAAAAGGTCCGATTTCGAGTTCAAAGGGAAAACTAGCGACCGTTCGAAACGTCTCTCCACCAGATTGTCGGATTTAGATTCTTTAAAGGGCGGAATTTTCGAGTCCAAGTCGAACTTCCTGCCAAAAAGCCCCATCCTGGGCAAGACCAGTTTTTCCGACAGCAGGACCAGCCTCCTCGACGGTCTGGGCACCGACATCTTCGACGACATCTCCCTGGATTTCCCGAAAACCAAGAGCGTCTTTAAAAAGGACGTGCAGGATATCTCGCAGGACTTTCCCTTAAACGGTCCATCGGCCTCTCTAGGCGACAGTAAACACGGTATCATCCTGCAAGACACGTTGTCATTGGACGACTATCATCAGAAGGTCCAGGAGCTGACCAGCAGTTGGCCAGGAGCCATCAATTTCGGATCCGGTAATTTCGAGCACGGAGGGTCCTTTTCTGGAGACTCTTCGTGGTTGAACGCTGCTCAACCTGGTTATGCCGTGAAGGAAGAGGTCGGCGAAGAACCCCACGACTTCAGGAACATGCCCGTTCAAACTGCTCCTCTTCAGCAATTTTCTGCCATCCAGTTTCACGAAGCCACCCCGACTTATCACGACGCCTTCGTCCAAGGATAATCATTTATTTCGATTTTAATCTCTACGTTGTTAAGCCTTCTTTGAGGGGGGACTCCTGACATTATGGTGCATACCAATGGTAGATTTAGGTATTTATGTTCTGCGGCAGGATCGTAATCACATTTATTCACTACATGTATAGAGGAGGATATTTTAACCAGTATTGTTAAAGTTATCCGTATTTAAAATACCCTCCTCTACTGTTACGTATAGGCAGATGGTTGCCTCCATATATGCATTGGGTAATGCTCACAGACAACCACCTTGCCTTTAAACGGATATCTTAAGGGGTATACTGATAACTATCTGATCGAATGGCTCATTTTATCTATATTTGGGCTTGGAACGGATAGACATTGGTACATTGTTCGTTATGCAGAGTCGGTGTTCTCTAGGTTCCTCCTTCCCGAACGCCACCTGAAAATTAATCAGCGTCAGTCCAAAGCGTCAGGATCCGTTACCAGGTGCAACAAACCGTTTAGGATTAAGTGTTTAACCAAAGCCACCGACCGATGTATAAAACGCCATGTTGATAAATGAAGAGAACACCTAACCTCCCTTCGAAGTCAGCTTGAAGAGGTTAAGTTCGTCCTTATCTTGCCACCTGCGTTCCTGTAATTGACGGCCGCTAATGCGCAGCGAATAAAATACGCACGCGAGGTGCAAGTTATATGGCCGGGTGACTTGTTTTATGCGACGGAAATCGAGTTTTATGTGCTTCGGGCCCTGAAGCGTTTATGGCGGACGTGACGGGCGCGTGCATCGGCCTCGGATATCTGGTCACGGTCCATCGGGCGCACGTCCGACTCCCAAAAGAGAGCAATCTTCGGCGAATGCGACGGATATCGCATCCCTTTCGTACTTTCACTGGCGAGCCGATGACCAGATGAACGTTTGAAAGTCTAGAAAGTTCTCTCTTCGGCAAGAAGATCGCGTGGATCGACGAGCGAGCGCCCACAATGCTCGAACTTGACATTCGACGGTTTGGGGCGCGAAGCTTCGCGGCGCCGCCGCCAGAGTCGCTGCGAGGCAAGTTTGAAATGGGAAATGCTTTCACCTTTTATTACATTTCTTTTCGAAATTCAACTCCATCCAGTATTTACACATCGGGTGGTCGAACGTGTTTTGAAGTGCGCCTTGAACCGGGAAAGTTTAAATATCCCTCGAAGAGCCTTTTGAGTTAAATCCGTGAATGGAGTCATACCCAGGGCGTGCTCCTTCATTTCCGTAATTTAAAGCACGAACGAACTCGCTTCGCGGGAGATAACAAGGTTTAAGCATTCGCATTTGCGCTCGCAGAACTTGCACCTAAGTTCCAGGGCTGCGCCGGCAAGTGCGACCCGAATGCAAATTAACGCGGGACCCGAGCGGACAATTAATACAGCCGCTTTGCATCCGCACGCATTAGCATTTCGAGGCAAGTGGGGCCGACATTTCTCCAAAAACAACCGCGCCATCTGAAGGGATAAAGATAAAGCCGAGGACGCGGCAAATAGAGGGACTGGTTAAAAGTCAATATTATCTCGAGAGGCTTCAAGATTGTATTCATTGTTACCACGGTATTAATCTAAGACTTGTAATAAATATGAAAATGGTGCCTCGACGATTCTCTAACAGCGCTTCGTGTTCCGTCCGTTCCGGAAGTTAGGCGCGAAACTGGGAAGGGAATAACGTGGCAGGCTCTTTATTGCGAAAGATTTCGGGAGTTCTGGGAGAAGGCCAAGGCTCGAGCAAGAAAGACACGATCTTGATCTTGGGGAAAGGTCGCCAAAGATGGCGAAGACCGGACCCGGTCGACCGGTCGGCCTTCCTGAAAGGAAAAGGAGCTCTCCTTTTATTCCCCCCCCACCTGCAATTGCCTTAGCAATTGCCTCAACGAGTTGCGGGAGATATTGCCTCCTCTCAGACGAGGCGCAGACGATTTATGCTGGGAGAAAAGGAAGGAAGCACCGGTGCGCGTGGGAAAGGAACGCAAATGAAAGCGAGAGGAGCTTCCTCTTCCTGATAACACAACGAACCCTGATAGAGAAAGACAGCCAGGAAGCCTTCGAACGATTACCTTTCATTACCTTCATGAACGGAAACCTTAACTTCTGTCATTTTTGCAGATTTTTAAATGACCGAAATAAATCATTCACAGCCAAGGAATGAAGCGACAACCTGTATCCTGATTTCCGGAGTTCCACTATCTCGCCAGGAGGACTTTTCAATTAAACTTCAAAATAATTCCTTGCTGGGGTGTTTTAATTTCTACCTTGGCTTCGTTTTTCAGGAGGCTCTATAGTTTCCTTTTTTTGTCGAAAAAGGTCAAGAGTTCTATTCTCAGCGCGTGGGAGAAGCCAGTGCGGATGAAAGTAAGAGGAAAACGCTCGATTCTCGGACCTCTTCCGGCGAGAAACGCACATGCGTGAGAGATTCTAGGGATGATTTACATCGCTGTAGCCAATTCGTTCCGAGAGTTGCAAAGGAATTTAGAAAACCGCTCGTTTAATACGGTTACATTAAACAGTCCATTCGCGTCCCATTATAAAGACTGACTTATTTGGGTTGAAGTGGAAATCTCGGAAAATGATCAGACGACGCCCATCATTTTTAGGTACGGTAAAACAGGAACGAGCCACTGACGAGTCTTGTTACAAAGATATTATAAGCGGATTACGGACATAAATCTCCGGGAAAAGGATTCCCAGGATGGCAGGTCCGATATCTGCAAGGACCTCGTCTTCGGACGTGCCGCGAATCGCTAGATTTGCCATAAATCGGGAACTCGGCGTAACTAGAAAGTCGCCGTATAATTTATAATCGCTTAAAGCGACCCCGTGAATAATCCTAAGGGTTCCTGGTTCCCTGAAAAAAAAAAATAATTACCAGCAGTAGCTTAGACAAACGGTGTAATAATTATCCGAGGAAATATCACCGGCGCCGGAAGTGAATTTTCAAGGTCGATCCGGATTTCATGGGAGGACTTCTGGCAAGATGCGAATTTCCGGCCGATCCGAGATGTCGAAGAGAGAGCTCGAAGAGGTCAAAGTCACGAAATTTCTCACATGCGACTTCTTCGGCGCGAACTCTCGTGGGAGAGTATCCTCTCACTTTCTTCCCGAGTGCACCTAGCATCTACTAATTACCCTGCGAGATCGCGAATCCGTAATTAGCTTGGAATCGAAAGGAGAAGATCGCGGAAAGACGACCTTGCTTTCTATAGCATTCCAGGACCGGCCGAGGTTGTCGATCCCGAATCCAATTAAAAAATTGATATAGATATTAGAGAGCACTTTCGACGTTGCGTTAGCTTCCGTTTTCTCCGGTGTCCCCGGTACTCGACATAGATCATTTCCTCTGGAAAGTGGACACAGCCATCTCCAGCATGTAAATGAAACTCGTTACCGAAGCTGAATTCACTTTCGTTGGCGGAAGTGCGGAGAGCCGTCCGGAAGATATCGGTCATCGGCGTCTGTCGTCGATAGCCAGTCAAGAACGTCGATTTGCGTAAATTTCCGACAATTACCGGCGACTTGGGACCAACCACGCCTCGAGCCATTAATTACCTACAATTACAATGTCTGGAAGCTTATATATGCCTTGATATCTGGAGCTTAAGAGCCGTTCTCCACGGCCGAGGAGGCTGGAGAACGGTTTTCTCCGCGGGAAAAATGAAATTGGATAATCAGGGCGTTTTTTACATTTTTAGAACGAATCAGGGCGTGCACTCGGGTGAAGTTGGCCACGGATTCCAAGGTACCTACGAAGGACTAGAGGATTCGGAAAGACGTAATAACCTTTCGAAGCGTTCTCCAGAGTCGGCGGGGGGCCTGGAGAACGCCCGAAGCGCGAATTTCACTGTCGGCTCTGGGTCAGGGCCGAAGTAGGGGAACCAGCTCCATACAGCCATTCCTCAGCTTCCCCTGGCCAACGCGTAAGGCCGTTCCCCACCGCGTCTTCCGGTCTTTTCCTCTGCCCGGTATATATAGACCCTGGGGATCTTACATATATATAACAGTGTATATCCACCCGTCGAGGCGACGAGCCGCGCATCGAGAAGTCCCGAAGGACCATGGCATCCCGGACGGCTGTAAGAATACCTTTTAAACCTCCTTATAATCTCTGGACCTCCACCTAATCGCCTTTTCCTTTCCGCAGATGAGATTGTTCGCCCTCGTCGCGGTGTGGACGGTCGCGGCCGCGACCTTCGGCGGCCATGAACAGTGGGTTCCATTTTATTCCAAGACGAAAATTTTTTCTAAATTTCTTAATGGCGTTAATTTATTTCCTTGATTTTAGCGTGCACATCAAGATCCACGTGCCAGAGCTCGTGGAGGATGTGCACCACGAGAAGAAGATCGTGAAGGTGCACGAGGAGCACGGTGGAGGTGGGCACGACGAGCACGTGGAGATTTCCTCTCCTTCTGGAGGTGACATCGGTGGAGGTTTTGGAGGTGGCCATGACTTCGGTGGTGGCCACGATTTTGGCGGCGGTTTCGGAGGTCATGGGGGTGGTTTCGGTGGAGGTCACGGAGGTGGGTTTGGATCAAGCGGCCATGGGGGTGGTTTCGGTGGAGGCCACGGAGGTGGGTTTGGATCAAGTGGCCATGGGGGTAGTTTCGGTGGAGGTGGCCATGGAGGTGGATTTGGAGGTGGCCATGGAGGTGGATTTGGAGGTGGCCACGTGATCACCTACAGCTCCGGAGGTCACGGTGGCGGATTTGGAGGAGGCCACGGTGGTGGATTTGGGGGAGGTCACGGCGGTGGATTCGGAGGAGGTCACGGCGGTGGATTCGGAGGAGGTCATGACGGTGGATTTGGTGGAGGCCATGGCGACATCGGGGGTGGATTTGGAGGTAATTATGTCACGCGAGAAGTATGTCGCTCCGTGTTGAAAAATATATCCGGGATACGATACACGTGAAATTCAAGACATTCGACGCAGGGACCTTTTCTTTCGCGAAGTGCATTTCACCTTCACCTGCGACCGAGATGAGAAGGTTGTAGGACCCGTTTGGCAAGGTTTCCCTCTTCGGTGAGATCGTAATCGTCACTTGAACTTTACAAGCCCGATCTCGCCTTTCTCGGCCACTCTCCCTGCTCTTCCCATGGACACTTGAAAGTGATGCGATCCCCGTAACTGCATCACCTCGCGAATCCGGATGCAAGCGCAAATCCTGTTTTCTTGTCCAGGCGTTCGAATCTCCCCCCATGTTTGATTTCACGTTTATCAACGATATAGGAACGCGAGAGAGGGAAAAGAAAATAATGTTAACGTCAATTTTAGGTGGCGGACATGGAGGAGCCATCATCGTGAGCGAACACCATGGGGGTGGCGGCTATGGAGGCTCCAGCAGTTTCGGAGGTGGTCACGGGGACATAGGAGGCGGTCATGGGGACATAGGAGGTGGATATGGTGGAGGCCACGGAGACATAGGTGGAGGTGGACACGGCGATGACCACTCGTATGGGTCCAGCAGCTATGGAAACAGCATCTCTTCGGGCTTCGGGAGCAGGTGAGATTTTCCACCTTCCTCTTCGTGTATTTTTGTATATATCAAAATGTCTATCAGTAACGAGGACCTATCTTTTATGTAGCGGTCATGGGAGTTCCAGTGGAGACAGCTACAGTTCCGGAGGAGGATACGACTCCTACTCTGGAGGCCACGGGGGTGGCTCCTCCTACGGTGGAGGAGACTCTTATTCCGGTGGAGGCGGAGGCCATGACGGTGGCTTCAGCGGCTACCACAAGAAATAACCCCATACAACGGTGGTAAAGACAACGGACGGTCTCTCATGCCGTCCGGAAAATGGGGTTCTAGGATTCCTCTCAAGCTTTCTCCTCTGAGCACATCAAATTTCCGAAAGCTGCGCCCTCGATGGCCACGGAGGCGTCGGTTGTAACCGCATACAACGCGACATACAACACGACTGATCGCGTCATTCCTTCCCGAGAGCATTTCACTGCGATATCCATATATATCTCACGAAGTAATCGATCGGCTAGCGATCGATTCAGTCACTGTCCATTGAGTTGTTGCCGTCGTCGAGCCCGTTGTTCGTGTTGTCTGCCGAACGACGCAACAATGCCACTGATCGATGCGTTTGTTAACCGAGTCAAGCTCGCATGGTTTCCGGACATTTCGACGGGTTGTAGGTCCACGTGATTTTCAAGAACAACGCTACAACACCGTCCAATCCCGCGACAACGCCATGTCGAGCTGAAACGTTGTTAAATCGTTACATGTTGTATGATAAGTCCTGTAAATATCTTAGCTGTATCTATTGTTATTTTAATAAAGTTTTTTACTCCGACCGGTTGTATCTCAGATTAAGTGCGTTGTTCTCAGCTCAACCGAGGTATGAGAGGACCCAGCGAAGGAGAGCTGGGAAGGTAAAAGCAGGCAACTCGTGATTTTTAATTCCATCATGACGGTTGTTATCTCATGACTTTCGTTCCAATGCCTTTTGGGGTTTAATGGAGGCTCGTTCGTGGTCGAGGATTTCTTCGCCCCTCTCGTCGTCGAAAAGCGAAACCGTGCGATCCGCCGCCATTTTCCGAGCTGTCTGGAAGATTAACGGTGCCGATGTATTAGTCTTGTAAAATCGTGCGTTGCGGCGAGATTAACTCGAGATGGAAAGCTCTGCCGAACGGAAAGTGAAAGAGGCGGTGGCACTGCGGATGGAACGCGTTTTCACTTATGTTGCTGCATCATCGGCGTAAAAGATATTCGAGATGAAATCTACCGATACGGCGGCAAGTTTAATGTCCATTGATCCCTGGAGAATCAGTATACCGATATTAATCAATTAATGGAACGATACATTAATTAGATATGTTCTTGGTGCGAGACTCAGTCCCATAAATCAGACCTCGTAGGATCGCGGATCGAATTTAAGCCAATCACGTTTCGCATATACAGCATGAAAAGTTGATTTCGAGATTAACGACGGGAATTGGATTCGCCGATTTTTCCCGGTGTTTTGTCGACTCTAACCACTAAAAGGGGCCGAAAGAAACGGCGAAAGAGCCAAGAGGAAGGCGCGGTGGGATAATCGAAATTATCGGGACGTAAAAACGATTGCTTTCGGCTTTACGTAATCCGACGTCGTACCGAGACCAAAGCAACAAGTGGACGGAATACTTCCGAATCGGAAGCGAAATGTTAACGACGGTGAAAATGAGCTTCCCATCCGTGGCGCGGAAATCTCTCCCCGTCTTAACTATTCATTACGGCTTCCACTTTGCTGAGAATTACGGGCCGCCTTAACACGCGCTAACTGCAAGTTGGGTAAAATCATGTCCTTGCCTCAATTAACAAATTGCGTTGGAAGATTCCCCGAGATGTGTACCGAGTGTACCGGATAATGAATTCCTTCGGCATGTAGTTTACACCTTCGGCAAATGCCTGCTTGTTGAGCAGATTTTTCCCTTATGAAAAAAATTCCTCCCGGAACAACAAACCGTTGTGCAAGTCGATATTGGCGCCCGCGACAATGGCTGTGGTCGACATGTAATTGGTACCAAGAGAAAGAGAGAGCGTCCAATTTTGCTTATCCCGTTGTTTTACGGGCTCCCGTTGATTGACTTTACCGTTTGTTATATATAAGGCTCTAGGGGAAAAATGTCTTTTAGTCAGTGACCGCTTCGAGTGCAGAAACGCGCTTCGGGTATCTCGACGCCGAAGAAAAATGGCCGACCTCCGAGTACACGTGGGTGTCGCCGGTTGGCTCTGTGCTTACACCTTAGTAAATAAAATTCAAATACAGTAGACACTTTTGAAAGATAAAGGGAACGTTGAGAATATCGAGAAGAGCGCTACGTAAATCTTGTGGGTTCTCTTCTCCAAGCGACATTTCTTGCGCGAGTCGCTTCCAACCGCGCATCGAAGTCTCCGCCGATCTCCGACCGAGATGTTTCCGCGTCATGCAAATAGCGTGACAAGTGCACATATCGGTGCATGTTTTATCTTAAACCGAGTCGCGTAATTCGCAGATTAGCTCGCAGGAAAGAGCGTAAAGATTTATTATCTGCCTCGAAGTGAAACGAGGCATTTACGAGGCGTCTCTTAGCGTCTCTTTCGCGAGTCGGCGTCTCGTTCGAGAGACGCGACGCCGGTCATCTCGCGGTCCTATATGGAACTATCGGGATTTTATAGATTCGTTACGAGTAACCAGTGAGGACGTTTAGTCGCGTTACCGTTGTATATCATTAGGTAACTACACTTAACGTCCGTAAGCCGTAGGCTTATACAATGACCGTCGAGCCGTGGCTTATGACGGAGTTACGGCCGCGTCATTATAATATTCGTCGCGCAATGGCGGTTACCAGAAGGAGCAGGAAAAGGGGGATGCAAAAAGAAAGCAGGGCACGTCGCTCGACCGAAAACAGCCTGATCTAAATTCTACCTCGGATATGTCGACCCGCGTTATGACTTTCCACGGTATTTTCGGGACTCTTACGCAAAGGAGTTACCAAACGAATGAACTTTTCTCAATTTTTAAGGTACTGTTGCTCGTTCTCCTCTCGGTTGGATTGGTCTCCTCGATGCCCAATCCCAGTGGCCATGGACACAAACAGTAAGAATCTTGCGGACCGCTTTACATAATTTTCTACCCCACTTATTTTATCGAAAATGATTTATGGCCGAACGAAATTTCTTTCAGCACCCACGTCATTATCCACGTTCCAAAATACATTCACACCCATCATCACACCCACGTGAAGAAGATCTACATCCCTGTAAAACCGAAACCCAGCTGTTGGTGATACTTCCGGTAAAAGGATTCTTCGGCAGCTAATTAAAATTGGAATTATTTGAAAATCTTTTGAACCGCCTTTCGGTCAGGAGAACGTAGCGTGTACGGTATTCATTCTTTGTAAATAAAATAGAAACGAATACATAGTTTATCCGTGTGATAGATTGGACTGCACGCGAAGCATATCTCGCGGAAGAAGTAATGCGACTAGCGGAAGGAACGGTGAAGCATCGGCCCCGAGAAAGTTCGCGTTTCATTAAAGAGCATTAAGGCAGCAAATAAACCAGCTTATATTCCGCGAGAGGTCAGGCGATCGTAACGTTTATTACCGAGCTGCGTGCACCGGACATTATTTCCCGACAGAGTTTCGCTTCCCGACAACTAATCGAAGAAATAAACTGTCGGAAACGAGGGCCGGAACCGGGCCGACCGAGATCGCGCAAACTCGGGAAACGAGTCGACGTCGTTTAATCGTTAATCGGAAAGATCGAAGGAGGGCAATAAAATGGGTACTAGGAAATTAGCTTAGAGGAGTAACAGCGAGGGAAAGAAACGGCACCCCGTTTTCTCGGTTTTCCTAAGAAACATGTAATGTACAAAAATAAGTCTTTACAGTTAATAGTATTTACACGACGTTGGTCCCGACGCAATGATTTGCGTGCGTTCAGGTGCGACTTACACGCTAAAGATGGCGGCCGCCTGGCCGCCTTGTACTGTGAGTTTTGATTAGTCGGCGCCTGATGCACTCGAGGTGCATTTTGAGAAGCTCTTTCAGAAAGCCTAGCCTATAAGTGATTCTCATATTCCCTTAAATCTCGTGCAATCCCTCGAGTTAATTTATCCGGCACGCCCGAATGACCTGCAACGAGATCGGTAGAAATTTAGTAACACCGAGACGTATGGACGTTTTCTTTTTTTTTTTTAACGCTCTTACGAGTATATCGAGACATTTGCTCACCTGATGAAGGAGAACTAGATCGGCCACGACTTGCTCTACCACCAATGCTTTTCCTCGTGCACCGGCACGTGCACAGGTACGTGGACTTTTTCCACGTGGTGCACCGGATATGGGACCGGCACCGGAACCTTCTCCACGTGGTGCACCGGTACCGGAACGGGTACATGGACCTTCTCCACATGGTGAACCGGTACGTGAATCTTTTTCACGTGATGGTGATGCACCGTATGCACGTGATAGGGCACGTGGATGACGTGGTGGGAGCTGATAAAAAAAAAAAGAAAGAAAATTGAACAATTAGGTAACCCAAGAATTGAAGAGAGGAAAAAGAGAAGTGGGAAAAATGAGTAGGTAAGAGTAAAAGTTCAAGTGCCACTTACTGATGACCGTATCCACCTGGTGCAGGTGCAGCCATGGCCACGGCCAGGATTCCGCACACGAGCAACTGCAAAACGCAATGACGAATTTTTAACAGGCGCATACCTTGCCGAACGAGGTGTACTCTACATCTCGTGCACCGTTCCCTCAATGGACATGATTCGAATCGGCGATTATTGCATTTCACTAGGTTTCTCGCGTGCATGGTAATTAGCTAGGACGTGGAGCCGAATTAAAAGTGGGCCAACATTGGCCCAAATCTCGATGCGGGACAGTGGTCCCGATTTTGGCTCGCTCTTTCCTTCGGTTTCACAGGTACGACACATTGGGATGAATTACCATTAAATTAGAAAAAAACAAAAAAAAATAAAAAACGTTCAAACACTTCACTGAATCCATATTAGAAAATTCCGTCGAAAGCACTTGCAATAAATTCTTCCGTCCACTGAGAAAAAAATCCCGACGAAGATACTTTGAGGTCCGATCTAAAGATCTGGTGCCGCAAAGAAAATGCTAAATGCAAATGCAGTCGCCAAAATTCGAGGATGTCCTTGTTTTTTTTTTTTTTTTTTTTTTCAAGGAAATAAACTAAAACTTCGCGAAACCAGTGAAAGCGAGTAGAAGGTACGCGGTTTGGTTTTGAAAGTTGTTTGAAAAAAATTACTCACAGCAAGGGTGTGAGAGTACATTTTGGCGGGTCTGTGACTCTTGACCGAGTGCTGATACAATTCTGAGTTACCCGGTCAGCGAAGTGTTTATAAAGGACGATCCCATGCCAAAACCACCCGGTAAGGGTGGGAGCGAGTCTGGTCGCCTCGTTGCGTAAACCAGTGCGGAAACGTGTACGTTGCGTGTTACGTAGCCAGGTAACTCGCACGTATTCGTATTCCACCTGGCCGGCTCGTATACGTGGGGCCAGTCTGGGGGAACCGTGGTTTAACAAGTTTTTCCCCCAAAAACGTGCCCCCCCCACCGTTTCGAGACGTGCCCGTCGCATCTAAATTGACCCATCGAACATTTCGAATGCGTTTCTGCGCCGATTTTGCCGCCACCGACGCTTCCAAGATGGCGGCGGACGGGTCCCTCCACCTCGTCACTTCGCAACGCCGTATCTCGACACCCAGCTCGTAAATATGTCGCGATACCGCATCGAATAGCGCCTCGTCATCGAAGCTCTCGATGATGAGATCGATTTCGAAAGAATCTCCCCCGATTTCCTGAAACATCACGCCATCACGGCGACCGGTTCTCCCTAGGACGCCTCGAAACTTCTCCTACTACGCTGGTCATCGCGTGGGCTGGAAGTGGTGCAATTGCGGAGAAAACGCCTAGTCGTAAAGGATCAATGTCTAGACAGCCGTATACACCCCGGGAGATTCCATTTCACGTACAATCACGGTACGGTACTTGTTTCACGCGATTTGCGATTCAGAAGTTTAAGGCTAGCGCGCCTGTAAACGCGATTCCGGGACAAGATCGCCGGACGTGTCTACCGCTCAACGGTTCACGTAGTAGATTCTCAATTGGAGCGGCTATTGGTCGTAATAAAACGCGGTAAATGCTATCATATCCACGCTTTCGTAATTCTAGATACGGTCGGCTGAGGCGATGTGGAAACCCATTAGAAAATAAGAGTTTCTTGGCCAGAGCGGTGGGCTATGAAGTCGCGCACGCATGCAAGAGCCTGATGGCATCGCGACGCCCTCGAAAGCTGAAACGCGTCGCTTTGCTATGATCGAGTCGCGATTTGTAAAAATTGCTCGTCGGATCACGTATGTCCTATGCGTGGCGCAAGTCAGAAGTAGTATCGCCAATTATGCGGGGAAACTTTCCACAAAGTTGCACCTGCGAGGCGGCGGATGTTTCTAGCTTCACCTCTTGCAAGGAAGCGCCGAGGGTTCGCCATTCTTGCAGCGAAATACGGCGATCGTCGAAATCGGGGCATCGATCTTCCTATTAAACCGCGGCGCCTGAACTCTAGAAAATAACATAGAGATTAAGCCGACTTCCTGGAAGATTTCAAATGCAGTCTAAAAATTAATAATTTTCACAGGGCACGCCGAGACGTTTCCAATATGGCGGCGCCAGCGATAGAAGAATCGCCTATCGGTTTTCCGAAGGTCTCGATCAATTTCTCTCCGCTGGCTTGCGATATCTAGGCTGCAGGAAGTAGTGCAACGTGCATACTTAAGGTATCCATCATACAGGGAGAAAGCGTTTCGTAACCTTTGGGTATGGTTTTTTTTATGTGCCCATCGGAACCGACGCTATCCAGCGACTCGGCGCGTGCCCGCTCGGACCCATCCCGGATTATGTAATCGTTCTGGTTGCAACGGAAAGGTTAACTTCCTGCCGGTCCAGCGCCATCGAGAAAGTGAGAATTTTTCAGGAAATTATGTCCGGCCTCGGCCGCCGGGAGAAAATAACACCCAGAAAGAAAGTCCACCTGGAACTGGTCCAATAATTGACATATGCTTCGAGTAATGGCGGCAGGCTAATTGTATGGACACGATTATAATGCTTGTTAGAGCTAACTCGGTAAAAGTCGCAGCAAGTTTGTAACGCAAAACTTGTATTTTCGCTGGTGTACGCTTAGGACTTTGCTATTAATCTAAACAGTCTTACAAAGGAAGTTGTCGGGTAAACGGAGTCATTGCTGCTGGCAATAAAAAACCGAGGGCTCGTTATACCGTAATTGACTCGATTTCTTGAAAGGAATTCGATGATATTTCATTGCAATTATTTGCTTTGCATTAGGATTTAAAAGCTACGTTTTTTGTTAGAGGGGAAAGCGTTAAATTAAGTACCAACTTTTGGATAAATATCGGTGAAAGTTGGGAGCTTCAAACATTTTTGCTAAATCATTCCAACGGATCAGACGAGCTAGTTTATTTAAAATAGTAGAAATCAGTGCTACTATTAGGTGGATACTGTTTGAACACTTTCACTGTCGACACTCGAGGCCTCTAAATTAATACTTCACATTGAGTTAAATAAATGCTTGTATCACCTTACGTCGCAATAATCTGAACGATGAAATTGGATTTACATTTAGAAAGTGCCGGTTATAGTCCTCTTTTGAAATTGATACCTATCCCTTGTACCATATTATGACACCTTTAAGCGATAGCCAAACATGTAATTAAATTCCAAGAATATAAAGTAAGGTTTTCACTCCGCTTTCTTCGTACACACTTATCAAGGAATCATGGACTAACGACTATTTCTTTTTCTTTATCTTCAATGGCACTTCGGATTGTGGTTTTTGCCACTCTAGCGGTTTACGTCGGTACATTGGCCAGGGTGGTAATGTCAGGATGGCTGCCAATACGGAGCCTGCCGCCAATATGTATATCGTCTGTGAGAACTCTTCGATTATGTAGCCCCATATGAAGCCTACCACCTGTTGACAGAAAATGTCCACTTCAATTTGTGTATTCTAACAAGCGAAATTTATGAAATTTTTATACACATGGCTTTAGATAACAATCTTGAAAAAAATCCTCGGAACGTTTGAAATCGATACGGATAAACTATGGCGTACAAATATCATTAAATATTAATAACGGTAACAATTACTTTAACTTACTCCAAATACAGAAATTATGATCCTGTACAATCTTTCCGCCCTAGCTTGGCCATCATAGTCCTAGAAGAATAACAGATAGATATTTCAGAATGAGTGCAATATAACCTAGACAGGTACCTTGCCGGCTCTTTTACTCCGCAATGAGGTTAAGTAACGCCTTACGTAGAATAGAAAAGCTCACCATATGTGTCGGAATGGACCGCATTTTCTGTATCCATGAGCTCATTTTCAAAAATGTCGAAATTCTCCAAGAAACCGTGTGTTAATAAAATACAACTTATCACAAGTTAGCCAGCTGTCTGATACGTCGACAGATCTAATGCGCAGCCCTGGCGCGCAGGCGGTAGGTGCAAGACGACGCCATGCTGTTGCCAGGAGACGAGAAGCCGCGAAATTTGAAATATTACAACGTGCAATAATTTGCACATGCACGTCAAAGGGACATCTATTTGTATACATTATTTTTCACTTCCGTCGTACACAAGAAAATCGTGCGTCAGGGAAAAGAACGTCGAAAAAGAAAGCGCGGCATTCCACGAGAATATCTTATGTTGCAACGATGCGGAAACCGCGGAATAACTTCTTTTCATTTAACGAATACATGTCACGACTTCTCTAAGCATCGATAGCAAGTTTTGCGTTCGATCGAACGCTTCTAATGGAAGTGGATTAACACATAGGCGAACACGCGCAATTATTCACAGTACATAACGATAGGTATTTAGCGATAACTCGCGACCGGTTCTACCTGCCAGGAATGCTAGACGAGAAGAAAGAAAGAAAAAAAAAAAGGCAAAATACATCACGAGATAGCTCCGCTTTCGAAATGCTCGAAGACTGTCCCGCCGATGTCCGCGAATTGCGAAATCCCGTCGACCATCTTTGATCCTCCGCCGCTTTCTTGCAGCCCTTTCTCTTTCCTGGGTCTTAAGTAATCCGCAATTGGCAGACGCGGGTCTCTGTCTCCGCATTTTTCTTCCATTTCACTCGATAAACTACTCCGGTTTTACCCGGCCGAATAATTTCTAGGGAAGGGGGGGAATCCAAGGAAACCTTGCCCTGTTGAAAAACAAGCGGTTAATTAACGGACGATTTATTTAACGCTCACTTATTAAATAGTTAACCGTGAGGGTGAAGCGTTGGATGTCGCTCTACGTCGAGACTCTCCTCGACGCGTTCGTCTCCTCAAGAATACTGCCGGCAATGAGATTCTGGAATGAGTTTTTTCCGAGCTCCAGGGTCTCGAGATGGATTTCTCTCGGCACGTTCAGATCGCCCCGTAACCGATGGCTCTGGGTCCCGTCAATGTCCGGACCCAGTTAGAATTTTCGAGACTCGTTCCAGAACGTTCCAGGGGGCCTTCCTCGGGTTCCCGGGAACCGCTGCAAAGCGCAGATCGTGACTCGCACTCCAGACTTATGTGTGTCGGGGCTATAATTAGCCTTAACCTATCGTTTTGATTACAATCTGCTCATGCACGTGCCCTCCTCGTATCGTCCACAGCCCGTCCAGATCGGGGTCAGCGTCGAGGCGAACTCGTGCCTCGCGAAGTTCACGGCGTCCCCGACGGTTGGGAATGTCGCTAGCAGTCCTTTTTCCCGAACCGATGCCATGCACTTTCGCATCGTCTCGAACACAGGTCCTAAAAACCCCAAAAAGGTGGTTAGACACGCCCGTAAATGTATCGAGGTTACCTCTGTGTGGAATAAATTGGGTTTAAGTAACTCCAAGCGCCTCTTCCGGGCCCTGCCCTTGCGCCGCCATCTTGGATTCCCCTAATTCCTCCGACGCTGCCCGACTTTTTTTTGACCTTAATACCGATCGCCTTCTTTGCATGCAGACGCGACTGCACTTTCTCGCAGCCGGTCCTGTGGTAATAAATCCGCCCAGGCGATAAAAATAACCCATGAAAGTCCGTCGATTCCTCCCTTGGCTCTTTACGCGTCTTCCTGCAGTCTCGGGTCCCCCGAGACGACCTCTTCCGCTTAACTTACGCAACCGCGCGTTATTTCATCCCGGGTCGCTCCTTTTTCGCCGCGATGGACGCGGAACCGGCTTCGAACGTATAAATTACGACACGGAAGAGGCGGCTCAATTTTGTTTCACTTTAGGGATTTCACGGGAAGGGAAAGCGTCCTTTCGGGAGACGCGGAAGCCGCCATTTTGGTTCCGCGCTTCTTCGACAGCCGAACTATAAAAGCGGAAGAAACGCTAAATCTCCCTCTATTTGCAGAGCGAAGCGTGTAATACCCAGCGGTAAGAGCTCCAATCTAATCTCATTGTCGTCATTCCACGGCGCAAATATTATTATCACAATTACACGCTCCGCCGTGCAAGTCGGAGAGCTACCTCCGAGTCTGAAAATGGCGCTCTACGAAGGTGCGACATTTTCTGAGACGTCTCGCCGACTCGATTCATTTTCCCGGAGCTTTCTTTCCGTGACGTTTGTTCATAAAAAATGCGCACGGGCTTACCGGAAGACCCTGCAAGAAATATGACCGTCTCCGTTTTCTTGTATTCCTCGGCCAATGAACGCACTGTTGCACAACCTGTCGGGTCGATGTACGTCAGGGCGGAGAAGTCAAGGACCAGCACGTGCATCTGCAACGAATACCATGACCAAAATCGTCGGGAAATGAATAAAATAATTTATCCCTAAATTCTGTCCCACAATAACGTACAATAGAATTAGGTGAAGCATCTTTGACCTCGCGTTTCTCCTCGTCCTCGTAATTCCCCGACGAGGACTCTCGCTCGGATCTTCGGTCCTCCTCGTACGAAGGATTCGTGTAACCTTCCTGAAAAAGAAATACATATTATTACTTACATATATTTTTTAATAAAAATTTTTTACACATCTACCGACCACTTGTATCTTCGCCGAGGATGTCTCCTTCATATGGGTTTTCCGGCGATTTTCTAATTCGGTCAGCGCATTAAAGCCCATGGTCTTGTACACTTCCTTCCGGAAGTGCGTCTTCGAGGCGAAATTCAGACTTCCGCAGTAGCGCAGGATTCTGACTCCTGGTACGTCTACAGTCTGGGGATGAAACATTCTTTAAGTACGAGGAGGTACTACTATTTTGTTCATTCGAATACATTAATTAATCTTCGGGAACGCCATCTTACTCCTTTGTATCTTTCGGCCTCGAGGTAGATCTCGGTTCCTGGGACCAGGGCCAATCTGCACGCATAAGGCCGTGACGAATATACGATTAACGAGGTCAGAGAAGTCAGGACACCGATCAGCAGTCCATATTCGATGTCCAGAAGTATCACAGTGCTGAAAGTGACCAGCCACACGAGAGCGTCCACTCGGGACAGTTTCCAAAATTTCGGGAGCTGCTTGACCTGCAGGAGCATCCCTTTCAGCGCCACGACGATAATACTGGCGAGGACGCACTGCGTGATAAAAAACAAAACAATAAATTATTAAAAGTGACTGATTAAATAATACCTCGACCGATCGGATGAAAGCGGTTAAATTTAATTAATATTTTCAGAAAGTTGGCCTATACATTTCTCAGCGTATCAGGGATGAAAGGTCCCCGCCCCAGCACTTTGCATCTCTTTAAACCCCGTTTAATCCTCTCGTCGTTCGGGAAGTGTACTTTAATTGATTACTTATTTCAGGGAGATCCCGAGTCCTCCGATGAAGTATGTCGAACTTTGATCTGCCTTTGGCAGAGGGAGAGCCGGGACAGGTACACCAATCCGTTAATGGACTTACCCTGGGCAAAGGCTCGAAGAAAGGGCCCACCCAAAGCAACACACACAGCAAAATCCCGCAAGAAACGAAGCTGGCCAGCTGGCTGTATCCACCAACTGTCTGTTGCACCATCGATCTGGACAAAGAAGCCGTGAAGGGCATGCAGGAGAAGAAGGACCCTACGAGGTTGCCGGCGCCCTTAAAAGTGTCATCCAACACGTTAAATGGTTATAATTTAAAGAAGAAGAAAATTAATCTCAGGGAAATTTACCTGAGCCAGGAGTTCCTGGTTGGCGTCCACCTCGTAGTTCATCTTCTGCGCGAAAATCAGAGCCATTGACATGGATATCGTGTAGGACACCATAGTGATAACGAAACTGTCCAGCAGGACATCCGAAATCAGAGACATCGGCGGAACTCTAGGCTCGGGCAGCCTGAAAGTGTCCTTAGAATTACTTTGATCTCTCCGTTTAAAGCCACGGATTTATAATCCCGGTAATATATGAGTCTGTAAGATCCATTACCCGACTGGTATATGACCCACGGTGACGATGTTGTAATTTCCCGGCAGGTTCATGTACACCGAGAACAACGTGCTGGCGATCACGGCGATCATCTCGATCGGCACAGGGAAAGGACACATTTTTGAGATCCTCGGCTGAAACCATTGCGGAAATGAATATTCCATCAGTGTATACATTTCCTGTCACTCGTTGTCAGCGCGAGTACCTTGAGGATTTCATTGTTAAAGACAAGGAGGATAATGGTGATCCCGGAGACGACGACTGCCGTCACGTTGACGTTGTCGATAGCGTTGACGATGTCGACGTAAGTCTGAGAATTAATAACGACATTACGTACTTGTGCCTGGTTGCTTGCCGGATTTAAATACCCGTTTAGATACGGATACGTGGGAGAGGGTGGGAGAAAAGCCGGATTTTCTATAAGATTAACGACCGCCAGCCACTCGGCTCGTAATGGCGGCCGGAAAAGAGAAAAGAAACGATTCCCTCCGCGGAATCGAGCATCGGATAACGGAAGTAAGGTAAGAGTTTATCGAGGCTCGTTATTAAGGAGTTTAACAGGAAATCCTCTGCCTCCGGGAATCCTGATCTACATTTGTTCTATTTTTTTTCACCGATGCTCGATACCGATGCCCCAGAGAGACGCGCCAAAATGGAAAAGGGGTAAACGTTCGACTTCGGTCGTATTTCTGGGAGGAGCCATTCCATTATTTCACTTACGAAAACCACTTTGAAAATTCCCATACGTTTTTTCAGACTCAGCCCTAGGAGGTCTTTAACTTGGGACGTTAGCACGTGCACTGCAGCTGCAGTTGTGAATCCACTTATCAGCGTTTCGCTCAATAGCGAGGATATCACGCCCAGCCGCAGGACGTACATCGCCATCTGCAATTACGAGGAAAAAAGAAGAAAAAAAAACGGTTAGCGAGTTAAAGAACTGGGACAACTGTGAGGTAACGAGAGTAACGATTAAAACAAAAAAAGTCTTTTACGAGTTACCTGCATTAGAGCCACGGTAAAGGTGACTGCAGTCGCGATTTCCGTGGGCGAGAAGTGCTGGCTCGGTGTCATGTCTTGTCCAGTGACATTATCCATGGATGAAACGACCGTCGAGTTAATTTCATGTCCCGAGCTATGGGTCAGCACAGTTTTCCCAGTCATCATGCAAACCAGAGCGAACGTGCCTAAATAAAAATCGAAATAAAAAAAAATTTAATTGCCAACGAGATTTGCAAAAAAAATCAGGACGTACCCATCGAATTGTGTCTAGACGTCCCCAGGAACATGTAAACCAGAACCGGAAAGAAGGCCATGTAAATTCCGACGATAGGTGGCACGTTTCCCAGGATAGCGTAGGCCATGCCTGATAAATTAAAGAGTCGCTATTTTAATTTTTACTCCTTTAGTTTAAAGAAATAATTATCGGGATTTTTATGGCAAGAGGGTAGTGAGTCTACCTTGCGGGATGTGCATGACGGCAACCGTGACACCAGCTACGAGATCGCAGAAAAATTTATTTCTCCAGTCGTACTCTCGAATCCATCCAGCGAAGGGAACGGTTCTCCGGAAGCACGAATCCAGCTGGCACTTCCTGCCCTTCTTCGATATCGTGAGACCCACTGACGTGAAAAAGGGGATCGAAAGCCAAACGTCATTACCTGGGCAATTCCACCCCGGTATTCCGGTAATTAGTAGAATTACGCCCAGAGTCACGAGCGACGGGGTTTGTCCGGAACTCGGAGGAGATTTCTTAAAAATGACCGAGCCTACTCTGGGCGGGTGGAATAATTACCAGGGCGCCGGCCATTAGGGGAGCGGGATGCCCTTAATGCGCCGATGATGGAAACTCGGAGGAATCGGAATTCTTTCCTGGCGAGGACGCCAAGGGGAAGTTAGGGAAGAGAGTAAGTTATTTCAATCCCTGGAGTATTCCAAGTTCTACTCACGGTTCTTTTTAAGGCTGACATATTCGTATATGCGGTGGAATTCTTCCTGCTGGTACACGGGACGACGCACGATCACTTCCGGGCCCACCGCCGCCATCTTGCATCCCTCCTGAGGCTGCGAATAAATCGGAAAATGTGGCGATTAAAGGAGCGAAACGGCGCTATTAATATCCCGCCGCTTGACTTTTCGGATCTTGAAGACATCTCGAGGAGGTCTTGCGCAATTTGAGGGTGAAATAAAAGAGGGAAAAAGGACAATCTTGCCGGTCCCGTGAACGCGGAATGTCGAGTTTGGCGAATCGCCTTTCACGCCGACACAACGGCCGTTCGGGGAAAAGCCTAGCGAAATTCGACGAGACTCTTTGCAGCCGGTCATAACGTCTTTTTACGACAACTGCACGATCCGTCGATAAGTGTTACCACTAGCTACGTTGTCGAATCCGTTTTTAATGGAAAAACTGTTCCTACGTTAACGCTTGCGAGCTTACCCCGCAAACAGGACGCCTCCCCACCTCGCAATTTCGAGGGCCTCCATTATACAGCCGGACAAATTATAGGGAATGATTAAAACGCAGCTCGATTTAAATTACAGGAGGTTTTAAGCTCGCGAGCGCCCCTGCTCGAATTTCCGACGATTTACGCAAATATGCCCCGAAAATGGCTCGCGGTAATGGCGGCGCTGATGACAGGGGCGCCTGTTTTTAGATCGGCGAGTTGCGCGCTTTTTACGGACTGCGGGAAAACCCGGTCCCTGATTATTCTGCCCGACTCGGGATTTAAATATTTCAGGCAAAATATGGGAGACGTTTTGTCCTACTCGAAACTACTCACCTGAGTGAGCCAGGGCAAGAGGAGCCTAATTCTTCTCGAGACGAGACCCTATCTCTTCGAAGTTCGAGTGCGAACTAAGTACACCCGTTTAGCCTCGCAAGTACGGGACATCGGCGAGATTTCTCTAATCTTGAAAGATCACGCGGTCTTGCGAAATACACGTTTTACTATGCTTTTGGACTTGCCCCGAGTGTGTACGCTGGGTGCTCCAGAACGGACCCAGCTTCGGCTCGCATTAGATGGTAGACTGACCAGTGAGTAACAATCCGCGAATAAACCCACCTAAAATGGCTTGCCGATAGCCGACTAAGTACTCGTCACGGTAGAACTGCTTTGCGGTAATTATTGTGGAGACCTGCCGGACCGGTGCATTACCCCATACAGAGATTAAGAGCCAAGAAAGAGCGAGCCATGTCGACACCGTGATCTCGTGACTATCGATATGCATCGATGGGTAAACATTTACCCGGGTAAAAAATATCCTCGGAGGAAGAAATGCCAAGATTAAATCAATTACTCGCGAAGGAGTGTCCTTTCGAATTCTCCCGACCCGGCTCGAAGGACTCGCCTTGTCCTTATTAGTTGAATTTCGAGCGAATTATCCTCGTCCCTGGATTAAGCCAAGGATGGGAAAGTCTCTTTCCTTATTCCCTGAATTACGTGAGAATTATCCTCGGCCATGGATTAAGCCAAAGATAGGAAAGTCTCTTCCAAAGCGGGCGCTAAAGTTATCCACTTTCTAATAATAAAAAGAGAATTAATTAATATACGTCGGAGCGAACCTGCGAAAGATTACAACGAGGCTAGTATTTCCTCGAAATAAACGTTCCCTCGATTAGGACGGCGGAAAACTGGGAAAAATAGGATTTTCTTGAGTACCTACGTCAAGGGCCTCTTTTATTTGGAGAACACTCGCGTTGTTGGTTTGAAGTTTTCCCCTTGACGAGACGATTTGGCCTCGCCGAGTGCTTCTTCAAAGTTGCCCCGTTCCGTGTACGATTTCAGATATTCCGGCCGTCGAAGCACGCCGAGTCACAGTCTCGTACGTTTTGCGGATTTTCCTGCCATTTTCCGGAAAACCTCCACGCGAAACTCAGACGAACCGGCTGATTGCATTTAATTTCTACTCCCTTAGTCCTCTCACGATCTGGCTAATTCAGGAAAAAAAAAAATCCCCCTCAATTTTAGTGAATTTCTCTCAGCGATTTATCGAGATCTGGGGGGCGAAGAAAAAACATATTTATCCATAGAGGGGAACTTTCTTCGACCTGATGGAACTAAACCGAGGAGCGTCGCGACGCACAGTAGTCAGCAAACCGTTTCCGAGTGATACGGGATTTCTTCAGAATTATTTATGCGCTGTTTGCTTGGGCAACTGGTGGTGCTCTTATCAGCCGTGATAGTATTAGAGCGTCAGAATTTTATTACGAAAAGCATTTACATTCCATCACGTAACGCCAGACGTTTCCGCGACGTCGGAGCGATGAAAGCTGAACGAGGTGCAACATTAACGTATATATATATTTTTTTTTTTATTTTATCACACGGTCGAAGCGCAGAGCTGATAATAGGAATTCCAGCTGTACGCTCCCAACCGCGACGCCTTACTACGATACATTTTTTCTCTCGTACACTTGCTCATAAAGGATATTAATATCACAACGGACGGAATATTCGTAGACGGTCGGACATTTGCATCTTGCACTTCAGAGTAACGAACTCGCCGACCTGCAGACTTGATTGTTTCTCCCATTAGCTCTGATAATCATTTCTACGCGTCTGCTGATCGCTCGGTCGGTGACCAGAAGCGGCTCGTCGATTTGTAACTGATTTCCCTTATCACCAACTTCCGGCCACGAGACTTCAATTGCGGCGCCCTTCGGGGTGGGATTCCTGAAAAAGAAAGCGAGCCAAAAAAAAATTAAGAAAAGTTTTCCGCATTTCACCTAATCAAGTATTTTTTTTTTCTGCCTCGTTTCGAGCCGTCGAGCGTGAAGAGGAAAAGTCTTTCAACTAATCACCTGAATTTGGCGAAATTAGTCCACATGGAAACTATTCTGTCCCTCACGTATCGAACTCGAGGGGATGCGTTGCGAGACAAATCTTTCGCCGAGACGTAAAATATGTAAGGGAGGTCGTCGGAATGGGCGGCACCTGGAAAATAAAAAAAAAATAAATAATAATGACGAGATATATAATCTTAGTATTGTACAATTATTAATGTTTATATTGCATAATTATTATGATTTTTATAATTTGTATAATTATTAATTAATCACCATCCAAGCTGACGTTGTAGAGCACTCTGTGCGCGGAGTCTTCTGTGTCAACTGTAAAACGGTAGTAAAATACAGGCTCCGGGCTTAATTCGTGTAACAGCCTCTCCTTCTGATCGATTCCTGAGATGAAATGAACTTCGCTAGTGTCCTGAAATTTTTGGTCAGAGGATATTGTCAATCTTCCCAATTAATTGGAAGGAATTATCTCATGGCGAAAATTGAAGGTGGGGTAATTCGAGGCTTGTACACTCTTTAATAGTTATCTCTTACGTTGACGAGCTGGCGTAGCACTTCTGTCGAGAGATCGCTGATTACCATGGAAGGTAGATTAATGATGTCTGTAAGGAAGGGAGGCAAAATGTCGTCCAAGATCGGGACCATCTGCGTGTTGGGTATCGCTCGAAACATGTCGAATAACACGTTTCCGACTGGAAATAATAATTACTCGTCTACATAAATCCACCTAGCTGTATGATTACCCAACTAGAATTCCAATTCGTAGGGTGCACTGTTAAGCCCGGGAAAACGGAGCAGAACGCTCAGTGAAGTGGATTAAAATTTTAACGATCTGCATACTGTAAATCGCGGCTTTGAGCTACAATGAAAGTTACTGTAATTAACCGCACATACAAATTAGCTGATTATAATTGGTTAACCAGGACCGACCACAGAATCGGAGAAAGCGGGAAATATCGATTTTCTCATCTGCTGGTGATCCATTGCAGATTGATACGGCGATACTAATTATGTAATTAGCTTCTTGGCATGTTTGCTTACCGACGCCGTTTAGGAAAAGTGGCAGAAGGCTAAGTCGAGCGTATTAAAATTCTACGATTTACGGACTGGAAATTGCCCCTTTAAATCATAATGAAAATGGCCATAATTGTCCGTGCATGTAAATCAGCTGATTACAATTGCTTCCCTGCAATTTCCGGGTGCGCGCTGGGCATCTGTTTTCGAGGGTGCGCGATAAAAAGTAGATTAAGGCATCGGTTGTATGCATCGAGATTCCACTTTTTTAAAGACTGCAAATTACGGCTCTACCCGGTACGCGCCATTAAAGTAATCCGGGAAATGTACCTCCTCCAAAGAACGCCGTCTCATCGGAAGTAAATCCCAACATGAAGGGCACTTTCGCGAAGTTTCCGGACGTAAATATCCTCAGAGGGCAGTCTGATAGAAATATATCCTCTTTTCGGGCAAATTCCGGATATTCTATAGTTGGCCTAAACGGAGGATCCGCCTGTGAAAAATGAAGAACGCGGTTATTCCAAATTCAGGGTCGAAGCCGCCTCTCCTCGGTTTTTTCTAGTTTCTTCGATATAAAAAATTAATCTACTGTTAAAGAAAATAAAAAAAAATCCACAACTTGTACGTGTATGTATATTTCTTTGTTTGAGAAGAAATCCACCTGGAAAATGGAGCCTCGGCTTACCAAGCTCAATTTCTCGGTCGCCAGGACGATATCCCTCGCAGGGACGTCCATCAGCTTGCGAAGTATTTCCTCCCTTAACTCCACCCTCCGATTGAAGTTGAATATGGAAGGTCTATAGAGACGAAGCTCCCTGGCAAGGGAGAAAGCTTTGGACACGGCTTCGTCGATCCGATGGAAAGCCCACGGATTGAGAATGGAGGCGCTCATGGTGATGGCTCCGCTAAAGAGACCTGATGGATCACCGAGGACCTTATTTTTTCCCCACCTAATAAGGGCACCAAGAAAATAGGATTAGCGAAAAAAAAGGTACCTCGAGACTTCTCCGACAGGATGTGGGTGTCGACGCTGGCGCCCCCTGCGCTCTGTCCAAAAATCGTCACCCTGGCCGGGTCTCCCCCGAAAAACCGGATGTTCTCCTGCACCCACTGTAGGGCGAGGTTTTGGTCCTTCAAGCCGGCATTTCCGGTGGCGTTGAAGACATTGAGGGACATGAAGCCTGGGGAAAAAACGAAGAAAAAAAAATGGAAAGCATGGAGCATTGAAAAAATCAACGACCAGGGGTGGAGGTCCTTGGTCTCGGCGTACCCATGAGCGGCCATTCCTAGTCATGGAAATCCGTATGACGGTCAGGGGCGCGAAATAAAGGCGGCACTTCCGGGGCCATCGTTCCATTAACCGTGGCCGGCGTCGCGGCCGCGATTGCTCGCGAGCGTAATGGCTCTCCGCGCACTTCAATTACCGGCCACCGAGGGAAACTCGGGCCGGATTTCAATTCCTAACTCGGGATCGTACCTAGAGCACCGAGACGATAATTAAAAGTCACCAGCAGGACGTCCTCCTCGATAATGAAATCCGGACCGAACACCGAGTGGTCCGCGTATCCCGACGTGAAGCCACCCCCGTAGATCCACACCATGACCGGTCTTGCAGTGCTTGCACTTCTTGTACTTTGCCTCCTGGCCTGGAATTTCGTCTGATCGAGGAAAAAGTGGGTTACTCGCTGCAAGCCCTCCCCCAATTAAAATTGGATACAGGGGTAATTCATGGCGATAGCTCACCTGCGGAGTGAAGACGTTCAGGTAGAGGCAGTCTTCGGACCCTATCAGGGTGTTACCGTCGAAGGGGGACACTTGGATGCACGGTGTCCCCTCGACGCTTGCATTGAATACCCCCTGCCAGGGTTGTATTCTAACCGGTGGCTGCGAGGTCCCGATAAAAATGGAAAATGAATCTTGGAATCGAGTTTAAGCGAATTTAAGGGACCTCACCTTGAACCTAAGCACCCCAACTGGAGGCTGAGCGAAGGGGATGCCTGTAAAGGCCGCATAGGGAACGCTGCGGATTTTAGACGTCAAGATGCGCCCTTGCACGGCTCCATACGCTGTATTTACGGTGACAGGTGGCTCGTGGTGTGCGGTGGCGAATGCCAGGAAGAAAAGTGCCACGATGATGTACATTCTGAATTTAAAAAAAAAATTTTCCGGACGTGGGTCGCGATCCTTCCTCGAATGGCGACTCTCTTGGTTTGAGACTCCATACGCGGACGGCACTCTTAAGAACTACCATTTCAGCCTTATCATCGTCGAGGCGATTATCATTCCACGATGACAGTTACTTCCACGGTGGAATCGTTAAAAGGAAAATGTATATCTCGTAAACGTTACCTTTTTGATTTAAACGGGGTCCTCTTGATTGGACGACCTCGGCCGTGGTATCACCCGCGGTGAGGATAAATCGCTGTTTAAAGCATAAATACGCGGAATCGGTGGAAGTAGGCGGGTTTTTCACCTTTCCCGGGGAAAATCGAGTCAGGTATCTCGTTTGTAAAACGAGAGGCGATCGATCGTTCTCGAGATATTCGAAGGTGGAGTTGACCAATCCTGCGGTCTCGTGAGCGAACGGGTGTCGAGGCCTGATCCCCGTAATTTCTTCGTTCCGTTGCGACACCGCGTTCCCGTGGACTCTTTTTTTGTATATAATTGTATATAATTCTGGGGTCCAGGAATTAAATCTGGAATATTCACGGGGACGATCCGACCCTCAGAGGCCCGGCGACTAAAAAGGACGCCCAAGCTGACTTGAGGGATTTCACGATTTTAACCGAAAGCCCAAAGTGGTGGGGGGAAAAATGTACGACGAACGTAATTAGCCTCTTTGGAAATTTTCTAGCCTGAATTCCAGCAAGGTCGGCGCCTTGAGCAGACGTCGAAGGCTGCGTCAGAGCCGCGAATGTTTGTCCAGGTGAATTAACCGGAGCATTGATCAGCGTTTGGCAATAATCGCGGGGACGACGTCTAACCTCGATTTCCACGATTTCGAGTGCACCGTTTAATTTAGCACTTTTATCAGAATTTTACTTCGAGCCGCGTTTACGACAAATGGCGAGGAGGAGTGACAAGGATGTCCCTCCGGTGGTTGGATGCTACTCCATATTTTAAGAGGCGATACGTGACCGTACCTATAGAGCTCTATATCCATCGTTAGGGCACTCGTCGCTCGAAGCACAAAGCTACTCGAGGGAATACGTGCCAGGACTGCAACTGCATTATAAAAGAAATTACTTTGACTGCGACGCCAAGTTGGCAGTCTCCCTCCACCTGATGCAAAAAGTAGGAAGATGGAAGTCGGGATTATCATTTTCATTTATTAGCGACTAGTCGGGCATTTAGGGGTACCAGGAATGGCGTCTCCCTCCTCTCGATTCTTCTTTCTGTTTTTTTTTTTTTCTACGTTTCTATATTTATTATGAAAATATAATACAAAACATCCTATGTTGTATTACATAGATAACAATGCTCAATTAACTTTTTTTTTTCCCTTTTGTTCGTAACATTACCATCCAACGCTATGTTGAAGCATGTCGGGAAAGGTAAGGTCGTTTTGGAGGAAAAGGCCCGATGTACAAAGGGACAGACAATAGATGTACAAGACTGAACAAATGAAATCATGGCTCTTGCGGAGGCATTCCGTGTTTTTTAAACCAGGGACCTCTCGCCCGGTGTGCATTTTCGTATTCGTTTCCATGCGTCCTTCGAGGAGTTTTGTATTAGCGCTAGTTTACAAATAATACAAATGTATGTAAATATTGTTATAGGTTAAGTAGATCCTCTTACAAGAAAGAAGCTTAACTTTAATCATCTAGCGTCACTATCGGTTTTCTCATGTTTTCCACACCGTGCTAACACTACGCCCTCTAGGCGGCGCTCGCGAACGACCCGCCCGCCATCTTGCCGGCCGATTGAAATCCACTTTTCTCGATAACTACCGATTCCCGGATGTCGGAAATAAACTCAACCTTTTCGTTCACCCCGTACCTTCCCGCGTCACCTTTCGAGAGACCTTAAATTCCCGCGTGGAACGACCTACGGCGACTCGAAATCTCGAGGTGGCGAACCCCGTGCCAAAATCGCGCCGGCGATGCGCCCGGACGGCCTTGAAACTCGTTCGGGTTTCGCCGTCGAGATTTCTCGCGCGTCGAGCTATCGATCGAGTCGTCGTCGTCGCGAGCACCGGCTGGAACACATTAGCGACCTACATTAACCTCTATATCACTACCCTCGTAGGCAAAACTCCGTTTAATTGGACTTTTCGGTCGACGACGCGGTTTCCTCGCGCGGCGTCCATCTTGCAGCCCTAGTTCGCGCCTCCACCTTCGAAAATTTCGGCCCCGAAAAGTCCAATTGCAACGCCGACCTAGGCAATATTAGTGTCCTCTACGTAAATGCTAAGTACAGTTAGCACTACGATTAGAATAATGTGTTAATGTCGATACATAGTTACCGTGTTCGTGTGTCCGTGTGTACTTTTTTTTGGGTTTAATTATCGTTATTACCTACGTTCGTTAATATTTCCTTCGTTAGCGCTCTCTCGTTAAATTACCGTTAAAATGCATTTACCGGCTGCGCCCGTCTCACCGTTAATCGTTAAACACTATATTGCTCTTCGTATTGCTTCGGCGGCAGTATAGCCCTACGTAGTCATGCAAAGTACTTTATCGTATGCATATATATATATTTATATAATATATATTTTATCCCTTTATCTGCGTTCCTGCTGGATCTACGTTATTCTAGTAATGTATGCGCGTGGCCGCATATGTATGCATGTAAACGTGTGTATGAATGTACTCGTTCGTTTCGCGTTTCCTTTCACCTTCGTTCTTCCGCCTTCTTTTCCGCTATCTCGTAACGCGTCGTGTAACGCCCCTCCACTGGATAATTAATCCTCCCCGCCGTCTCTTCCCGATCATTGTCAACATATCTCTATAAATATAGTTAACTTTATATCTGCGTGTTACTGCCCTCCTTTAAGTAAAAGCTATAAAATATTGGATACGTCTTAATCGAATCTACGGCAAACCGTCCGTGCTCCGTTATTACCACGTCCGCCATCTTTGTTTCGCGCTGCCTCTTTTCTTTCGCCGTGTTCATAGCCGAAGGTAGTCTCCCTACCCCGAGACGTTGCACCGCGATACTCGCGTAATCGTATTAATAATCGTAGCAATAATCGTAATAATAAGAATAAGAATAATAATCTTTAATTCATCTTCCTAGTTCTTTTATCGGGGGCCTCGCGTCGGGTGGAGGACCCCGCCTACGTCGTTATTGCTTTTGAATACCCCGGCTTCCTTGGGACATCCAATCGGAACAATATCCTGTAAATATCAGTCGAGGGGGTATCACAATGCGTTTTAATATATCAATAATATTCCTATGCATTAGGTTTAGATTAACTCTTATATCACATCCGTCAAACGTCGCTGGCATCAAGGGGAGGAATTCGGGCCCCGGCTAGCGAGTCGCCGCCATTTTATTTCCGGGGTACTACGTGATTTCGTCTACCACTAACGGGTGGGCATTAGAATCGTCGCAATAATCGTAATGATCGACGTCATAGTCGTCTCGCGTTCTCGTCGTCGTGCTCGGCGCGCTCGCTGAGTTTGTAACACCGGATAATATTGCTTCGTCGTCTCGCCGCTCGTTGTCCGCCATTTTGGAGAGCCTCCGACTCCGAATTAACGAAAAAAGACTTTCCCCTTCACTCGGGATATCCTAATATTGACCTCGACCGAGAGATACCGTAATATTGACTAGATTAATTGCATAATTTATCACGATTTCCTAATAATTTCCTGATCAATGTACATCGAATTTTGGCGCGGAACTAAACGCGGTACCGGAAGCGGTCCCTTTTCTTTTGAAGATCGATACATATATAGCCAAAACTTGTCATCGGAGGCTCTCCGGGAGGTGGGGTTACGGTTTTGAAAAACCCTCCCTCGGTTAGTCTTCTCGCTCGTGCGTTTCTTTTCATTTTTTTTTTTTTCACTGTCATTTGTTAATTGACACCGGCCGCAATATGGCGGAGCGCTTTTCGACGCCCCGCCGAGGGAATAAAATCGGAGCGACAAGCCGGGTGTAGGCACTTTTAGCGCATGCGCAGCACACATCGCCGACACTTAATCCACTTTTCCACCGACCCATTTTGCATTTTGCATATCGCCCTCCCCAATTCTTTTGTTTCTCCTTTCGCCACTTTGATCGACGAGCGAGTTCCGTAAATTGACTCCAGAGGATTGCGCCCAAAGGCAACGAACAATACCCATACCGAAACACTTCGCGGGAAACACGAAAGAACGGGGGAAAAGGGGGAGGGTAATTTGAATTTCGGGGGTGTCAAAATGCGCTCGTTACCGTTATCTCGGGATCGTTCGAAAATAGGGTAGAGCTTTAGAGGGTGCCAGGGATATTTACATGTCGAATTTCCCCCGAGATCTCGAGGGAGGGAAAAAACGAGCGCCGCTAAAAGTGCAGTGGCCGTCGATAATGGCGGCCATTGACGGAGGGGAGGCGCGAATATTCGCGAAGTCACGACCAACTCTCGGAATCATTAAGCAAGCTCTCAATGGAGTCGATAAGGGTCGAACCTATCGATCCCATCGTTAAGGTAAGAACCCGCCCTTAAAAGGCAAGGTGGCCTCCGGTCTCGATCAATCAACCTGCCTGCAAATGGCATCCCCTCGACAAATCGATAGCGCGATAACTCCCCTCGTTCGATTGCTCCCCGTCCCTTTAAAATACCTTTAAAACACCTTTAAAATACCTAGTTTCAGGTCGCCTCCGCGATTCCGAGGAGAAAAGATTCCCTATCGACCCCTGCTGCGCAACTATACCCCCGAGAATGAGAAGAAAGAAATAGAAGAGACTCGATTTCTCCGAGATAGAGGGGGAGAACCCAATAAAGGAATACTTAAAGCATACGAGAATAAAGTAATTGGGGAGCAAGACGAAATTGGATTTTCTTTTCTGGCCGTTCGCTCGGGCTCGATCAATCGAGGGGATGTAGATACCGATAAGGCCGGGGAAAGAAAAAATTTAAGTTCAGACCACCTATACGCATTACGAACGCTCCACTTCTCCCGTTTGTTCAGCTCGCAGGAGGAGATCAATATGCTTTGTAGGTTCAATAGTAATGAGGGAATTATCCGCCCGGGCGAAATTTACGGAAATTTACGGAGGGGCACGTAGCCGCGTTAAAGTTTCCCCGGCGAGCTGCCGGAACCGTGCCAAAGTCGAAGGTCGTGAAGAGGAAACCCTTAATTAAGGATTTCGAGAATTCGTCGATTTTACTCCGAAAATACCGAAGGGGTGGTTCGGGGCGATCCCTTATCGGCGACTCGGTCGATCCCTTGTCTAATTGCAATGGGGCTGCCCCGGTGTTTCATTGCCTCCTCTAATGTACA